AACTAAATACCTTATGGACTAAATTCAAATTCATCACAATAGGTACGTTAATTGAGTACCCCTAATTTTCTAACTATTTAGGATTGAATTTAAACTTTAAATAAACAATAAAAATTAAGTACCTATTAAAATTTCTAATTTCTATTCCGCTCCTCTCATAACTTGCACCGCTTCTAACACGGCAATACCGATGGCCTATACAAGGGAATATGAAGGTATTATGCACAAGAATGTCAGATGAAAGTGTCCGGACTTCGGACGCGACTGGTGCCGGAGTACGGACATAGGAAGAGGAACAGATGACTGGCGACGAACACGACTTGTTTCGTCTGCCTGTCTGTCTGTTTGTATGTTTGTTTTGTAACATGATTTCATCTTCCGGTATGAGGTATGATTATGTGTGAATAGTCTGTTGTAGTTTTTTAGTAAAATTATTACACTTCGTTATCGTTTTGCCGTCTATTTACAATAGAGAAGTTGTGTACATGTCGGTCTTAATAGGCAAGTTATTAAAAATTCGAATATCTAAAGTTGTTGAATCAACTCTATGCGTCAAATTTATCATGTTTCTGATAAGATAAATGGATGGTAATCGCTCGTTATCACTGATTTGCATACAAAAATATTGTCACTTGTTTTGGCACTCTAAATCTATGCCTGTTGGTACGTTCACTATTTATAGCCATCTTCTGAATTATTACAACCAAACTAGATAAGTACTATTGTAACTCTTAATATTATATCATCCAATGTTTGAAATATATTTTTAACGGATCTCAAACAGTGTCGGTTCTAAATCACTACCTTGCGGCACTCCCGAAAACAGTTACGTCATTTACTAACTATCATTCACTTCCTTGTTTATTTTGTTGAATAATGAATATTTATTTAAGTAGACATTGATACTTCCAAAGATATTAACAGTAAACTTGTTTTTATAATAACTATCGTGAGATATACTAAATTAACTAAAAATCGCGGGTTACTCACGTGCATATACTGAGAAAAGCTTTACTTATTCCGAACCACAGAAGGGTTCTTCCTCATGAGCAGGGTGCGATGTTGCGCCGCCTTCTACCACCGATTTTGGTAGTTTTTGTATTATAAGGATAGACTAGGATATAGATCGGTTTATTTCATATTACTTAAGTATATAAAAATGTGCAATGTAATCACAAACCTATTTGTTGGTAGTACATGATAGTTTTAACATTCTATGTAGTTACCGTTAGCTTATGTTATCAGTCACCCGTTGCCTTACCGCGGCCTTCACAGCAATGTCACAGATAAACTACTAGACGCAGTTATGTAGTACAAACCCAATTTACATACGTAACCTATTGAAACAATAACACTTGAACTAGGTAATTTGTTTAATATTCATTCAATACGCAGTTCATTTATGATACATCGATTTAAGTCATCATAAATCGAATTTAAGTATCGAATCAAAAATGTATCATTCATAGACGATTGAGATCGAAACATGACTATTCATGAATCACATTTTACTATCTCTTTCTCTATTAGAAATTATTTTATCTCTTTCTCTTTTTTCTCTATTTGATAAACATCTACATTTCGTCCCTATGGGGTTACAGAGAAGAGACATAGTACCTTATTTTTAGTAGCAAAATATCGCCTTTAAAACTTTAAAGCTAGAATACATAATCAAGCTCCTAAATACAGTTTGATTACCAATGAACATCTTCTAAATACCTTACCTACAGTTACTCATTTTATAGCGACTATAAGTCATTGAAACGTGTTTAGTTTTTCAAAATATCGTAACAAGGTTACCCATTGTTCCTCTTGAATGGAAATTATCTGATTTGAAAACACGTATTTTCGGTATTAACTGTTATTAATAGCAGGTAAATATGTTAATAGAACAAATTATGTGAATAGGTCGCCAGGAATTTTATTGGCATTATTGATGTGCGAGGTAAAAAGGGTGTGGACCACACAACGTCATTTTTTATATCATTGTTGGAATATTCAACTACTAGTTATTTCGTTCTTCTATAACAGTTTTATCTCATTAATTTAATGGAAATTAATAAGTAATCTTAATGTATAACAAATCTTGAACAAGAAGCAAAATATTAATGTCCCTAAAATTAAGACGTTTTAGGGTTCCTTTACTGTTTCGTAATGAAAGGTTGCTACTAGACCAATTTGCAGAAGTCTGCATTGGTTGAGAATATGAGGCTGGCTTCTCACATCAAAAATAGCTAAGTATTTTAAGATGGATACCCAATAGATAGCAGTGTAAATAGAAAAAAAGTACATAATGTTTTTATTTTTAACTAAAAATGATGACTAAACGTACTTTTTCCGCTATTTTAAGACTGATTACAGTTAGGCACAAATAAGTAGACATGTTTACGTCACACCCACCTACTTCTGTTACGAAGGAACCTTGAGTATGGGTAATATAACTTAGCAATAACCTTTTCATAATTTAATAATCAAATATTTATAGCTTGCCGATAACAAGCGCGTAAAATTGTTCAATTTTATTCAACACACTATTATATTTCCATACAATTACGAAATAGTTAATAATAGGCTTGATGTTCTCATCTAAACATGACATTAGGAATAACAATAACAAAGTTTTTATATGTTTTCGACAGTGGAATCAATCATGTTATGACTTTGTGTAAGTTTACTTCTATTCATAGGTAATATATCATATATTATATATTAAGCCATTAGGCTTAACTAAGGCTAGGTAGGTAAATACCTACCTAGCCTTAGTTTTAGTGATGAGGATAATCCTAAGAACTCAGGAGAAAAGTTAATTAAACACCTATCACAGGCTTGTCTATATATAAGCGCAAGGGCCGATGTTTCCAACGCCAGATAAATTCTAACAGTTGACTGCCTACAGAAAACTGTTGAAGGTAAATCCTCCGCTATCGTGGCCCATACCTTGTCCCCATGGCGTTCAAGATGAGAAATAAGGTGAGGAATAACTTTGAATATTTGACAATTCTTCCATACTAAAAACTGTCAAATGACAAATTTATTCTACAGTTAAGAATAAACTGATGCTTGAAAAATCAACCCTAATTATGATAACTTCTCGATTCCCTCCAAAATGATCCCCATTTCTTTAACACTTATAAACTCGACAAAGGCAAGGTCAAGTACCTTGTGAAAAAAAGCAATGTAATGAATATACACACAATTCTACACACTACTTACATTCCAACTACCTACAACTTACAACTCATACTGCAACTCGACACTATTGAGTATCGAGACAGTAGCTCATTAATGAGTTACAGCAGTAAGTGTACCGTGACGTGAGTGTCCGATTACTTGGACTTGTCAAATAGGTGATTTTAAAGGGTCGATATATCCGTTACATACGACTTGTGAATCCGATTTATTTAGGTAGGGTTTTGATTTCGTTTTCGATTGGAAGCCTTTGAAATTTACTTAGTCATGGTTTTTAGGTGCAACCGTATGAAAAGGTTTCTTTAGATTTAAATGAAAATTTTGAATATCTCTACTAAGGAATGAAAGAGAATTGATACAAAGTGACAAAAGAGTTAACTGGTGAAAATTGTTGGTGTCTTTTTGAACCCTGAATAGTAGACATGATATTATGAATGAATTATTCTGTTAATACGCAATTGACTACCTACATAACTCAGTAGACAAGACACTCGACACCAATATTACCAATGTTTGTTCGATAACTAGGTAAGAAGGCACCTACTTTTGCCAAACAATACCTAACTATACAATAATGACAAACAAACCAAAATACAATTTGCCAATGTTTTCATTCTTCATTAGAAAGCAATTCATCGAATTGTTTTATTTGTTTACTAACATTTGTTTGTTGAGCTACAAGAATTGAATCACTCTATTGTTTACAATCAAGTCTCGTAGTACATCGTCCGTATATAGGTACTATAATATTCCTAGTTCGCAGTTGTAAACCTTAGAATAGATGATATTCTTAGTAGGAACTCGTCCAAAGGATCGTTTGAGCGCTAATTAAACTTCCATAAATGATTTAATCTTAGTGTATTTTCGTATGTTATAACTTATATACCTATTCGCATAGTTATTTGGGATGAAAAAAATCCGAAAATCTTAATAACTTAAACTTATAATTATAACTGTCTACTGGGTATTGTACCCTCTTCATTTTCTAAATGATTCAATTTTAAACCCACTCTTATTCTATGTTTAAAATCGACTAGTGTGTAAAGAACCTGTAAAAATAAAATATTCTTTTTTATGTTCGAATTCTACGTTCAAATATTATAAGTAAAGAAACCACAGATAATAAAGTAATGTTGTCAGGTTATTGCCTTTGCGTAATCACGTTTTATTTTCACAACTGTTCTGATTGAACAATCACATTCTTTATAATGTTCATATTTTTGCTATATTTTATTTTAAATATCAAGGTTAATAAAACAAGTTAAGCGTGTGTTTATATCTGATTTATTAATCCAACAATTAATTAATTATTACAATCAAGTAGGGACCAGTAAATTGATAATGATTTTACTTAATTTGACATTTAATACTTTCTTCATTTTATGTAATAACGACTTTTATTGGAGACTTGGTCGCCATTAAAGAAGAAAAAGAATCGACTTTTATTCCATTGACAAAGCTTTTATTTTCTTTTGTTATTACTTAAGTACGTGAATGCATTGTTCTAATGGGGTAATGCCTTAGAAAGTGTTATGTTGTTCAAAATTATCAAGTAAAAAGTTACGTTTTTAGAATTAATGGGTTAATTTAGTAACAAGTGGGGAAAAATTGTAACGAGACATTTTATAAATGGTTGGTTTAAATTGATATTTTTTTACTACATACCTAGATCAAATACCTACGTCTACGTTTTCTTAAGTATTTTAGTCTTATTCGAAAAGAAAAAGTCTAGAGAAAGAGCCTTATCATCATTACGTACCTAACTGTATCAAATACGAAAACTCATAACATAACAAATATTTGTTTGCTAGGAAACGAAAATGTCATAAAATAGAAACGCAAAAGTTCCTAAGATAGTGATGTGCCACCAGAGTGAGTGATTAACGAAGCGAGTGCTAGTGATGTGACATATGAGACCATGTGGGAGTACCTGGCAGTGCTGCTTCTTGGATTCTGGCTCGGAGTTGCCATATTCCTGTATATATCCTGCTACTGGCTTGAGGAGATCTTGGGTAAGTTGAAAACCATCTCATAAAAATTTACTTAGAGGTTTCTTTCCAGAAGTTTTCGTTAAATGAAGCAGAAGTGCTTTCCAAACTGAACTAATGTGAGTAAATCTATAAAAATAAGTAGGTACCACCTGCAAACTTAAGTTGCTGGTTAAACTAAGTCAATTCTGTTAAAAAGTGCTACAATTAAATATAATTGCATCTCAATATCGACCCGGACGTGGATTACACGCGAAACAATGTTATATTATTGTTACGTGTACCTATCTATTTATTTACAAACTATAGACTACAGAGTAAAATAAACACCGTACCATAGTCAACTGTAAATTTTTAATGTGTATTAAATGCGTGCTAATTTAGTCCAAATACTCAAACGCCACTCATTTTAAGACGCGCTTAAGTAGAAGAGTTCTGTCACTAGAAATTCTTTGTAAAATAACAGAGACGGGACAATATTTAAGTACAACATAAATTTGAGTAGCCTTTCAGGCTTAGTCTGGGAAGGTTAGTGTACTTAAGGCAAGCATCTCGGAACGTAAGATATTCGACTGAAAACTCATGAAAAATCTTTTACTTGTCTCAAAACCTACTCATCGTAGGCCGTCCACTTATAGTTACGGTAGCCAGTAAGTAGTACTTTACTTACGTGTTATTGACAAACAGGTATCTCCATATTTAGTGAGTATTGCTTACTGTCAGACCTTGAAGGCTCAGAGCGGTTTGATTGACCCCACATCTTGACTTGATCGCCATTTTTTAAACATGTATTAACTTACGGATGGATGAACGACCTTGTCTATAATATATTTTATTCTAGAACTATTGCATTAATTCTACGACTTCTTTTGTACCAAGAACTGTATGAAAATTGTTAAAAGTAAAATGTTAAAAGAGTTGGGGAATGTTTTTTAATATATCTGTGGTACCAACTGTATGAAACCAAAAATCATTAAGTATAAAATAAACCTTACAAATACAACTCGACTTACCTATGATCACATGACACCTCTTTGGGTCGATAGCCACTAGACAACTGACCATTTTACTTTTCTAACCGATTATAAAATAGAAGAATAGTATAACAACAATAGAAAAACATAACAGAAAACATACCTACGGGATTCCTACACAAACTTACGCGCATTGGTCTAAGATCCATAGTCTTATTGCTAAATAATTTACCTTGAGCAAAGTAGAGAAAGAAGCTATTGTGATATTGTCATATATCTGATATCAACTCGGACTATAAATGCGTACCTATTTACTGAAAATTCTACACACAAAGGCCTTAACATTTTAATTAAAGTACAAATGACTAATTCTCTATAAGCTACCTACTTCTAAATGTGCCATATTTTTCTGAAATTGTAGGTACCACTGCCAACTATCATAATAATTATTACTATGTCGGACTGTCGGTATATCTAAAAGTTTCATAAAATGACCAGAATACAAAGACCTATGCATGATTGCCGGCCACTTCTAATGTTGCCGAAAAATATTGTTCAGATGATGTCGCATTTTATGTATCGCCAGTAAACTTACGATGGGGTGAACCATACATTAAGTTGTTCACATATTAGCAAAAAAAAATGATATAAGTGTCCAATCGTCGTGGTGGCCCGTAGGTTTAAGACGCCCGCTTCTCACGCATGAGGGTGCAGATTCGAAACCTACCAACGGCAAGTACCAATGTGACTTTTTCCGAGTTATATGTACTTTCTAAGATTATTTAGACACCACTGACAAACGGTGAAGGAATAACATCGTGAGGAAACCTGGACTTATAATTTCTAATTATATGTTTGAAATCGCCAACCTGCATTGAGCAAGCGTGGTGATTAATGCTCAAACCTTCTCCGTGTGAGAAGAGGCTTTGCTCAGCAGTGGGCATTTATAGGCTGTTGATGAATGAAGTGTCCCATCAAACCCGCCTTTACGACAGTCCTTGTCCAACATAAATGACACGTAATGACATACAGACTTACCTCGTCTACTTTGAGTTTTACGACCCACATCAAGCACAGATTTATTCTAGCCAAGTTTAGTAATTCTAGCGAACTTAGGTGTTATTGCTACATGTCAAGCTAGCAGCAGCTTTTGAGCTAAACCTAGATTTTCTCGAATAAATCAAAGAATTATTTTATCTGCCTCGTTGGCCGAGTGGTCGCAATTGCGACTGCCGAGCAAGGGGTCTCGGGTTCGATTCCCGGGTCGGGCAAAGTATTACTGGGTTTTTTTAAAAAATTTCAGTAGGTAGTAGCACGGAGTCTGGAACTGTGCCCGGTATATGGCAATAGGCTCACCCCCTATTACATGGGACTCATGACATAAATAGTGAAAAGTGGGTGTTACATTGTACAGTGGTATAATGTGCACCTCTGCCTACCCCTTTGAGGATAAAAGGCGTGATGTTATGTTATGTTATGTAATTATTTTGTGTCATTGATCATAACTCCATACATACGTTAATTGTTACCTTGGGCCCGCGGGGATTGACTTTTCGTGTTTATAGTTCCAGATTATTACTGTTTCTTCCTTTTTACCCGACTGTAGCAATAGTCTTCGTATTGCTATTTATTTTATTTGAAGGACTTGGCTCTGAACTATAAATTGGTAGAAACTATTCTAAATACAATGCTCGTAACAGCTTCTTCCATAATTTATCGTCATGTAATTTACCACAACGATTTTTATTAATTAATGTCATGTATTTCACTCATTGCCAGCGTGTTCTCCTCGGATCATACCAAATTGGTAACTCCTAGTCGACCTCTCGTGGACTGGAAGGCCACAACTTAATTATTATTTCACTTCATAATATCGATACGTAAACATGTGTAAATAACTTGGCGAACAGTGAAGACGGAAATGTGTTTGATTATTGATAAAAGGGAAGCGTGCTAACGGACGAAGTTATTATTCACTTAACGCCGTAGCCCGTAGTAGCTACGACGTAGCTGGCGTAGCAATATTACAAATATTTTTATCACAATTCAATAATTACGTCTGTGTTTATTGTCCATATATTAATTATGAAAACGATATACCTAGTGTAAGTAGTCGTTCAGAAGTTATAATTATAAGCATGTAGGTACATGTTCAATGTCGCACTTAACCTTTAGTCTTTCGATTCTCTATTATATTTTACACGTATCTCCAACTACTACTTAATTTGAAACCTCAGTTCGTAATTTCTAAATAATTTCATCACTTCACATTGTTGTTAACACAACCACCCATTAAAAACTCGATTTATGTGCATTATTACATGTAATTACGATGTTTCTGTACTGAACCATCTGCCACCTGCATTATCTTGAAATCACGGAGTATAGAGGAGTTACTGTCTCAGTACCTACCAAAGAAATATTAAAAAATGATTTATTATATCTGTGGTACCTACGTATATGAAAAAGTATATTAAATGGGAGAGTAAATAAACACGTTTGTATTTTTTAACGCACGCCCATTTGGTAATTTATGCCAGAAAAATATGATCTTGTTACAGAAGTTCGACAGACAATATCTCAATAGTACCTAACTCCCATATATAATGGTGCTCCTTACATATCTCCTTACTTAAGTACTCAATGCTTAAGATCTTGTTGACCCTAACACTAATTACCTTATTTTATCATTAAATCCGCCATCTTGCGACTATTGTCTGGCACTTTTATAGCTCATGTCGAGGGCGGGTGCTGACCTCTGCCGGCTTGTTTGAACTTTGCGCTGTTCTTAATGATAATTGCGGCAACACGTGTCGATGGAGTGGCAGGTTGATGTGTAATGTGTGTCGGAGCTTTTAATCAGTTGCCATTTCATTTTAATTTGGATAAAAAGATATTTTAGAAAGAAAGGCCCTGACATTTAGTAGATAGAAGTGTCGGCAACGCAGTCGCAACTCCTCTCTGGATATTGCGAGTGTCCATGGACGGTGCTCATCACTTACCGAAGGGAATACCGTCGATTTATTTGCCTTATCCCATAAAACCTCCGCTCGACGCTCCGGCTCCGGCTCCGGCTCCGGCTCGACGTGCAGGAGAAGGAACGGGGTGGTTTTTAGTCAGTAAGAGTCTGACACTCCCTTCCGCCTCACCCAGGCGGGAGCAGTCATTCGATGATTTTCCCCCCTTAAAAAAAAAAAAAAAAAAAAAAAATCCCATAAAACCTTACCATAATTATTTTAGCGTGTTTATTTACTTCGTATGAAACATAGAGCTCTATCTATCCTATTCTTACAACTATCTTATCTATCTTCATTTGTTTTAAATTAAGCTACTCATTTGTACTGAACACTTGGTAGCACGCGCCAACAATAGCGTATATTGTAAGTACGTATACAATTTGTGTTAGATAAACATCATAATATAGTATTAAAAGCCTATACAGTATGTAGTTAATTTTATCTTTACATCAATGACAACTGATAACAATCACGAGTAGCGTTGTACGACAGTTTATTTCTGGCTTGCAGTTGTATTTGTAAATTGTAAAGAAACTTGAAGTACATCGGTAGTAGAGCGCACTTTTTCCTTGTTAGAAACTGCAAAATATAATTATATGTAGGAACTTCAGTAAATCACCTACAAGAGCCACGTCCGCCGCTGACAGGCTTACGATTCCCTGGTCCCTTTTCATAGCTCTAGTGACATCCAGAAATTCCGAATCAATGCCGAATAGAAAAAAAGAAACAAAATAATTTTCTCACGCTAAATCAAGCACAGTAATAGGCTTTATACATAATAGAATCAGAGCTTTCTAGTAGTTTTGTAGTAAATCGGACAAACTGATGTTGCGCAGGAGTTGACGCCTATAGTCGTTACGTACATACATGAAGTACATACTTATAGCATAGTAGGTACTGTTTGGTCGGCGACTTCACATGCCTTGTCACTGCGAGTGTAAATCCACACACTTAGCGGATGTTGCGCTAAAACAGGGCCGTATTCAATTATTGCGGGTACAAAAAACCCTTTTAAAAAGCTATTATATCAAGATTATCAAGACGATCCTTTAATGTAGAAATATTGGTCATAATTTTAATTTGTAAATATTTCCTATTTTTACCGATTGATTGTCAGATTAAACTGTAGGATACTTGCATATTGAAACTGTAGGAAACCATTATTTTTTTAAATAAAATATAGAGAGCAACACACCTAGAAACTCCGAAACGATAACCTCTACCTATTTATCACACAAAACAAAGTGACTTTATAATTAACAGTAACAACCTCGAATTGTTCAGCGGTCAAAGAAACCAAATATTTGCACGAGTAACTACCATTCAGATAAAATTCAATTCAAAATAATTTGCGTCATTGTATGAATATCTTAGTTGAGCCACATTTAACATAAGTGAACAATTGTAATTAACTAAGTAAGTAGTAATAAAATACTAAGTTTGGAATATTTACGCGGCCCGCTTGGTATGTGGTGCGAGTCATATTTCATATTTATTTTTATGTGATTCACCAAGTACGCACCTGTGATTTGTGAGCCTTATCACAAAGTATGGTGGAAATGATGCATGCTTGTGTACACATCACTGACTTATCGATAAAAGAAACATAGGATTGTCTAGTAGAGTGGGCAGTTTAAATCAACATTTTATAAAACGTACGTGTTATAATAATCTGGAATTTATTTAATAAGACTTCTTCATTACCTAATTAAAGCAACTTTATAGTAGAACATTAATTAGAAATACTTCGTCCAAAATACTTAACACAGGAAGCTGTAAAAGATGATATTCAAGAAAAAAATACCTACCTAAAACTATTGTTTTTACTCTAAAACTCGACTAGTCAGATGATCTCAGTTTCACAGGAAAAAAATCTTAGGTAATATTAAAATGATTACAAGATCGTGAAACCAGTTAATACATTAACAAAGTAATTATGAATTATTAAAATAATTATTATTTTCGTGAGTAATTTCAAGTGTTGAGTTCCGCGTTAATTGACTTTTTTATCTAAAATGGCAACAAAATTATAAAAATTGGCGAGTTCATGAATATTGTTATTAATGTGTGACCTACCATGGGAACCACGAACTCGAAAAGTCTGATTCTGATTCTTGTAATTAAACATTCGGTTGTAAATTCGCGACTTGCTGCAACCACAATAATTTCTTACTATATGTAGTATTTTTTTTAAAGGGGAAATTCATCGAATGACTGCTCTTCGTCTGGGTGAGGCGGGAGGGAGTGTCAGACTTACTGACTAAAAACCACCCCGTTCCTACTCCTGCACGTCGAGCCGGAGCCCCGGTTACCCGTTAGGTTCTCCGCGACATATGTTATGTAGTATTGGAACTATTTTCATTTAAGTGTTGTTATAAGTTTTTTTATTAATGTTAATTATAAGTTTTTATAATAAGTGACAACATTATCGCATTGGGTGTAACCTGTTAGGATTTGTTGAATTAAATAAATAAAAATAAAAATTATATATTATTTAGCATCGTTATATTATGTGCATCGTTGGTTGTAAAGTGTCGACAGTTAAAATGTATTTATTAGTATGACATTGTAACCGCAATCAATTGCAGACTAAATAGGTCTATACCTATACCCTAAGTACATATTCCAGCCGTAAATTATATAATAAAATACCTGCAAGTAAAAGCCAAACCATCGTCCAGTTTCCTACTTTAGATATTGCAGTAAGATAAATAATTAGCAATCTATAATTAGTACTTCTGTTTTATGATACTTTATCAAATCCGGGTGAACTTATTTTAGCACTGAGATAAGTACTAAATACCTAACGTTAGTATACCTGTACCCTATCTGTTTATACACCTACCTATTGATAGATATCTTTGATATTAAAGCAATTGATTGGACATTGGACAATTTCTTTGTAGCCTCTAAATTAAATGTAAACAGAGGCCTTAGTACATACGAGTTTGTTTTACTTTTAAAGTAATCGTAACGAGTACGCGTTCGGCGCTCTGATTGGTTGGTTCATTAGCGCCGGCCAATCAGAGCGCTGAACGCGTACTCGTTTCGGATACTTCAAAAGTAAATTAAACTCGTACTAAGACCTTAGATACATTAACAAACACTTAAATATTGTATGTTTCTTTGTACTGTTCCGGCCAAATAAACCTTTGATCTGCAATTACAGAGACTTTATAAAGAAGAGCACCTAAAACACTTACTTGGTTTATTTTTATGAATAACATAAGTCACATGCACTGTTTGATGATTGCTGTTTCTTGCACCACGCTGATAACCTTCACTTGTACATATAAACCCCTCAATGTTTCCTCAAAAGTACACTTATTATTTATTGGACCCAAAAATACCTACGTAATTTCTTTAAGAAGTACCTATCTCAATTAACACAACAATTCTTGTTCACCAGATCTCCCTGCACCCCGCAATGCGTCACCAGCGCCCTCTGGGCACAGCGCGAGCGGAGCGCACGTGCAGCTGAAGCGGCTGGTAGCCAGGGTCGTGGAGGAGGCGGCAGCTCTGCCAGCTCTCGCCAGATATGCTGCTGAACCTCACACGCCATCTATTGAGTCTTCTACCTATGAAGACTTACTAGCAACGGCCATTTTAAATAAGGTGGGTTATAATTCACTAAAAGAAATGTTGCAGACTAGATATCTACTCATATCAATCTTTGACATCAAGCCTTTTATCCCCGAAGGGGTAGGCAGAGGTGCACATTGCCTACGGCACTTAATGCCACTGACCAATGTAACACCCACTTTTCACTATTTATGTTATAAGTCCCATGTAATAGGGTCATAATCATATACCGGCCACAATTCCAGACTCCAAGTAATACTTTGCCCGGCCTGGAAATCGAACCAGGGAATCCCTGTCCGGCAGTCGCACTAGCGACCACTCGGCTAACGAGGCAGTCGAACCTTTCATCTTTAAAAATAAACTTAAGTACATAAATTACACAGAGTTCATAATATTATCTTGATGCAGTTCGTGGGTCCCAGAAGAGGAAATAAAAAGCTCATTGAATGATGCAAGCTGCATCATCATTAACACAATACTAATGCAATACAATAAGCGACCTTGTACAGATACTGTTAGAGTATTGTTTCGATTATCATAAGATAAGCGATAAGTATACAAATCTGAGAATGACCTTTTCAATTTGGAAAACTCAAACATCGATCAATTGTGATCTTTATTTAGATACTGCTGGAGACTAAGTTTTTCTCGATATTATTATAAGCAAATATATCCCTAGCATCCAATTTTTCATCAGTTGGTCAGTAATCAGTAGGTATTGTACCACCAAAAACAAAAACAATAACTTACTGTCTTGCTTTCTTTCGGACTTCGCACCGTCATTAAAACTAGATAAGTAGATAGCACAATATCAATAATGTTTTGTAGTAATTATTTTATAATTTGTAAGAAAATGGTACTTATAAAAATAGATTCAGTATAAGGTTGCCTAATCATGTAATTACCTCAAAAACGAATAAATCTCGTAATCACTCATACAGTTTTAATGAAAAACAAAACATTAATCAACCTGTTTCATAATAATTAGATATTAAGACATAATAGTTAGAAATCCGTGCACATCCAATTCTAAGGCTTGTTTATGTAAACACAACCTTATGCGCGAATCCATACAAACGCTTCATTAGTTTCGCGCTTAATTTAGGGCTGTCACACCGGCCGGTAAACTTGTACCTATGTCTTACAACTAAACAATATCTACGTTATTGACAAAAGTCAGCCTCTCAGAAGACCGAAGTGAAACAATACTAAACTAGCGTTGTGATTCGTCGTATTACCGGAGGTTACCAGAGGCCTAATTACGGGGGGTAATTGGGCCTCTGGTAAACTCCCCAGTCTCCTCAATCCCCGAATCCCCAACAATCCTCAAATTTCTAATCTACAAAAGGCCGGTAACGCATTTGTAACACCTCTAATGTTGCGGGTGGCCGTGAACGGCGCCGATTGCTTACCATCAGGTGATCCGTCAGCTAGTTTATCGGTTTATTCCATAAAAAAAAATTGAGAGCGTGTTACCAAACTAAATTGTAATACAGACTGACAAAACAACGGATTCTGTTGTAATAAGGTAAATATTATAATCTTAAGTTAAATAATATAAGTAGCGCCATCTAGTGTTAAGTTGGCAAGTTTCTCATAGACGTCGATATATTATCTGTATTCTTCCCTTTTGTCGTCTGCATGGCGCCCATCATGTGCTTTCTGTGAGATTTTTAATAAATCTACGAAATTTAACAAGCTATTATCTATTATTCAACCACATCCACCACTTCAACATGGTAGCAGAGCGTGGTTAAGTGGTTTCACGAAAAAGTCAATAAATATGAAGTGCAATTATGAAATCAAATTACGATTGAGGTTATCCGGTCACAACGGAAAAGTTAGTTTTGAAAACGTCTGAATCTACAAGAATATACGTAAATATGGCACAACAAGCTAAAATAGAAGACATCATGATACCTATTTTTGATGGGGCAAACTATTCGAGTTGGAAATTAAGGTTGGTTACTTTGTTGGAATACAAAGAATGCAACGAGGCCGCCATAGGCATAATGCCGGTGAAATATAAAAATACAGAAGCGGAATGGAAGAAGATGGATTTAAAGGCAAGGACTATTATTATGAGTACTATTTCGGACAAACAATTAGAATATATCACTGAGTGCAAGACAGCTTTTGACATGTTACAAAAGTTCGACAAAATGTATCTTACTCAATCAACATCTCTTCAAATTATATGTCGAGGAAAAGTGGAAGCGATCAAATTAAATAATTACGACACAGTAGAGGATTTCTTCGTTGATTTTGAAAAATCCATAAACGAATTCAAAACAGCCGGAGGTAAAATTGATGAACCTGAAAAGTTAAGATACCTGCTCAGAGCCCTACCACCAAGTTATAGTTATATAGGAGATTTTCTGGACGTGATTCCTGAAGAACAAAGGACTGTGGACTATGTACATTCAAAAATAAAGGAGAAAAATATGACTATGTGCGATGACAAGAAAAATAATGTGAGTACATATACAACCAGCACCACAAGAGCTCAATGTTTTGTCTGTGGTAAGACTGGTCATCTCAAGAAGGATTGTTGGCACGCTCAGAGAAATAATCAAGGACAAAAAAGTTCTCAAGGAAGTTTCCAGTCGTCTAGTCGGGGTCAGCGAGGACATCAGAGAGCATCCTACAGAGGTCGCAGCCGAGGCAGAGGTCAAGGCCACTCATCTAGCAATCATCCTAAAGGTGAATCTTCGAGCAACGGTCCCTTCCAGTCATGGACAGCTGAAGTATGTAAACCAGAAGTAAACCAGGTATCCGGATGTAATGAAAAGGTAACATTTAATAATAATAGTAATGTAGTTAATTGGCTTTTAGATAGTGGGTGCACTGACCATCTTATAAATGATTATTCATATTTTTATGACAGTGTAGATTTGAAAGATTTTGTTGATGTAAAATTACCAGATGGAAAAACCTTGAAAGCAACCAAAGTAGGTACTGTAAAAATGTATTTCAAAAACTATTATAGTGTGAAGTATGTAGATTTAGAAAATGTCTATTATGTCGAAGGAATAAAACAAAATTTATTAAGTTTTTCAAAGGTAACTAATAGTTGTACAATAGTAGCTAAAAATGAAAGTGCTAAAATATATAATGAGTCTAGAGAGTTGATAGTTGTTGCTGATAAAATTAATAATTTGTATTGCTTAAAAGGTTATGTCTTAAAAAATGAAGTATGCACAAATTCTGTAAAGTTAACGCAGAAAGAAAAATGGCATAGGGCACTTGGTCATGTGAATTTTCAATACTTAAATAAGATAATAAATAATAAATTAGTTGATGGTTTGCCAGATAAAATTGAAAGCACAGAAATGAAATGTTCAAATTGTATTCAGAGTAAAATGACTAATGTACCTTTTGAAAATAATAGAACAAAAACTACTGAGATTTTAGAACTTATTCATACTGATTTGAATGGGCCACATAACACAACTGGTTATGGTGGAGAAAAATATTTTTTAACCTTTATTGATGATTATAGTAAGTGTACCAGGATATTTTGTATTAAAAGTAAAGCTGAAACTGCAAAGTGTTTTATAGAGTTTATAAATTTAATAGAAAATAAATTTAATAAAAGAGTCAAGAAGATTCAGTGTGACAATGGTAGAGAGTATTTAAATAAGGATATTTATAATTTTATAAGGTATAAGGGCATAGAGTTGTTACCATGTCCACCTTATGTTCATGAGTTAAACGGAGTAGCGGAGAGGTATAATAGGTCTGCTATGGATATAGGTAGATGTTTAATGAGAGAAGCTAAAATACATAGGAGGTACTGGCCTGAAGTAATAAAAACAGCAGCTTATTTAAAGAATCGTACTATTGCAAATACAGTTGAAAATAAAACTCCTTATGAGATATTTTTTGGGGTCAAACCAAATGTAGAGCATTTAAAAATTTATGGAAGTAGAGTCTATGTTAGAGTTCCTGAAGTGTTAAGAAAAAGTAAATGGGATGATAAAGCTCAACTAGGAATTTTAGTGGGTTATAATGAAAATAGTTACAGAGTTTTGTTAAATAACAGAATAATTAATGCAAGGCATGTACAGGTAATTGAAGAAAATACTCAGTTAATTTGTTTGGAAAAAGTAGACAATCAAAATAATAAAGATTTGGAAAGTGATAATACTTTAGATGTTTCAAATGAAGAGGTTAAAAATGAATATGAAACCGATGAAAACTTTGTAGATGCAGATGAGACTTATTCTAGTAGTAACGTAAATAATAATAGAGAAAATGACGTTTTAGTAGAATCACAGAAAAGAAAGAGAATCCCAGTTTCTAGATATGGTAATCCAGTTACACACTTTATTTATGTTAACCATATTGATGCAAATGTACCAAATTCATTCGAGGAGGCGATGAACTCCAATGATAGTAAGCAATGGCAAATAGCCATGATTCTGAAATAAATAGTTTAAATAAAAATAATACTTGGCAAATTGTAGAAAAACCAAAAGATAAAAAGGTAATTGATGTTAAATGGGTTTTTAAAAAGAAAAGTAATAATGAATATAAAGCTAGATTGGTTGTGAGAGGGTTTCAGCAAAAAGATTTTAATGAAAATGCTTACTCACCTGTTGGAAAAATGCAAACTTTGAAAATTTTATTGTCATACAGTTGTAAAAATAAATTATTTGTAGAGCAAATGGATGTTGAAACAGCCTTTTTAAATGGTTATGTAAAGTCAGAAGTTTATGTAAATCAACCAGAAGGTTATAAAACAGGAGATAATAAAGTTTACAAATTGCAAAAAGCTCTCTATGGTCTCAAAGAAAGTCCTAGAGTGTGGTATGATTGTTTTGATATATTTATAAAAACTTTGAATTTTGTTAGAAGTAATTATGATTACTGTTTCTATGTTAAAAAAGCAAGCAAAGATCCAATATACATATTAATATTTGTTGATGATCTTTTAATATGTTGTAAAGATAAAAATAAAATAAAAGAGGTGAAAACAAGTTTAATGAAACGATTTGCAATGAAAGACTTGGGGAAAATTAAAAGCTATATTGGCATAGATATTGAGTATAATGATGATAAAAATGTGATGACATTAAGTCAAACAAAGTATATTGAATCTTTGGCTGCAAAGTATAATTTGGTAAATACTAAGTTATATGATACTCCTATGGAAACAAATTTAAAATTAGAGCAAGCTAGTGAGGTCGATGAAAGTATTAAGTACAGAAATATAATAGGTGAATTATTGTATATTAGTACAGGCACAAGACCAGATGTAGCGTACAGCGTTAATTATTTGAGTAGATATCAAAGTTGTTATAACCGAACACATTACAAATATGCAATGAGGGTGTTAAAATATTTGTATAAAACTAAGAATCTAAAGTTAACATATTATGATAATGCAGATGCTGATATTTTAGACTGTATGGTTGATTCAGACTATGCAGGGGATAATGTGGATAGGAAGTCTACAACAGGTTTTATTATAAGATTTTTTGGAAATTTAATATTTTGGAAAACACGTAAACAAAATACAGTAACTAAATGTTCAACTTTTGCAGAGTATATTGCATTGTCAGAGGCAGTAACTGAAGTACTTTTTATAAGAAATTTGTTAAGTGAGTCATTTGATATAAACTTTAGTTATCCAATAAAATTGTATGAAGATAACTCAGGTGCAATTGCAATAGCTAAGTATGGTAACTTTACTAAAAATTCAAAGCACATTGAAGTGCAATATCATTATATAAACGAGAATTATGAAAACAAACTTATTGATATAATTAAAATTGATACAAAATGTAACTTAGCAGATATGTTGACTAAGAGTCTAGATAAATCAAAATTTTTGAAAAACAGGTTTGAATTAAGATTAATTTAGTTAAGAGTTCAGATTATTACTTTAAAGTACTGTTTAAGTAAAATATTAAAACTGTAATAACTTTAAAATACTGTTCATGTAAGATAAAATGTTAAGATTATAAATTTAAGGAGGTGTGTTGTAATAAGGTAAATATTATAATCTTAAGTTAAATAATATAAGTAGCGCCATCTAGTGTTAAGTTGGCAAGTTTCTCATAGACGTCGATATATTATCTGTATTCTTCCCTTTTGTCGTCTGCATGGCGCCCATCATGTGCTTTCTGTGAGATTTTTAATAAATCTACGAAATTTAACAAGCTATTATCTATTATTCAACCACATCCACCACTTCAACAGATTCAATTTAAGGATCATCACATAAATTCCCAGTTAAGTTCAGTTACTAAATACCACTTGCGTAAAGCGAACCTTTTCCTACACCTTAAGCAAACGGTATAATGATAACGTTCATTATCACCGCCACGTAAAAAGTGACATAATTCTACGTATTACTAAGTACGGACATTTATCAACACAAACATACAACTACACAAGTGACTGATTTCATTCTACCACTTCCATAAGCCTTCTAAAGCAGGTACCGAAATAAAAACTGATAAGTTCAAAAACAAAGAACATTATATCTCCACAATAAATTAAATGCAATAATCCAATCTTATTGCTAAGCGGAACTGATACAACCAGTCTAGCAATGGACAATGGTATATAAATAAAACTGATATAAATAATACCATAATAGGGCAGGGTCAAGAGCAAATACTTGTGTAACGTATACGATCCATGGTGCACAAGTAGCGAAATGTTATAGCAAGAAGTTCATATTCTGTCAGAACCAGCGACGCTATTCTATAAGACTGACGCCTTTGCAGGAATGAAACCTTCAAACGAGACCCCTCGCTCCGTAGTTACACACGCCGAACTTCATGTGTGTGACTCAACGCTTACATTATTTTATATTTATGATCCCAGTCCACAATCTATCGCACTATCAATGCTATCTCATTTTGAAATAGCTTTGATACCTACGTATCATGCTAATCACTGCCTTAGCGCACCAAGTACAAATGCAAGCTAGATGACCAGGATTATAACTTACCCTGAAAGAAACAATATTTGTGGTATTATCACGTCAATATAAATGAAAAGATTAAACTGTCAAACACCAAGCGGTCACCGGTGACCGCGACCTATTGTTCTTTAATTGTGTCTATAAAACCGGTACTCGACGAGTTAATAATTATACGAAATTCACCTAGCCACAACACAACTACAACTCATTAAACAAATTAAACCGATATTTATCTACCACGGTTAATCGAAGTATCCAGTTCGATCAGTAACTACTGGAAGCACTAATTTCCAACCTATTTAAAACAAGGATCTAGCTCGTGTATACTATCCATCACACGGACAGCTTGCTAGATAAGTTATCAATAAGTTATCTGTCGATAGCAGGCTGTATCGCTACAGCCAGTACAAAGATAGTTCGGTACCTAACCAATCCAATGTTTTACAAAGAAATGGTAAGTCATCATACATAAATAATGAGATTAATAAGTGTAATTCGTGTACACTTAGTGCTAATCACCTGTCCACGATGGACAATTGATCCGTGCAGTCGCTCAAGTGTCGTGAAGTGAAATGTACATTTTAAAATGTACACTTTTTATCTAGTGTCTTTCGTAGTGTTCTTATACATTGTAGCAGCTATAAGCCTGGTGAGTTACGTAAATTGTTGGCTCGGATTTGTTTGCGTGATTATAGAAAATTGTTTGATTATTTATATTTATACACAATGGTGATTATGTGATACCGACACGGAAATGTTTAATTAGTTTCGGCGTCTTCAAAGTGTTATTTGATTGTTATGTAAACAAAGGCATCGCGAAAGGTTTTTTTAAATATATTACTGGTAAACAACGAAGTGAAAGAAATTATTTTTAATAATGTTCATTTCAATGTCGTAAGCATGTTGTGCTAAATAATTTATTAATTAGAATAAACGTTTTACAACAAACCACGAGAACAGTGCAACAAGATAATAAGACCTATATAGAGAAAATAAATTACTAAACAATTGATTATGTTAGTGCAGCAAATGGACAACCCTACGCGATGCCATTCAGTTGACCCGACGCGCTTCTCTCCAGCGCAGTGTGAACTGGCGCTCGTGTGAACCAGACCTTTTTTTAGAAAACGTACCATCTCTCCCAGAGCTCTTACCACGACGAGATAGAGTTGTAATTCGTGTGACAACTGGTGAAAATGTACAATTTCTTCAGTTCCATTGTGAGCTACTTTCCCGAAGCGAACAGCGAGGTTCGAAGTTTTTCATGCGTTTGTCAGTTGTTACGAATTCATGCGTTCACGCTGGTCCAGTGGCTCAGATACGGCCGACTGCTGCTCAAATTCCCCGAGCATATCATCGCCTGTACATCCATCCAAGTGATTTAGTATTAGACATTTCCTATCTGGATCATACAAGTGTTGCATTGTTCCAGTTTGTTCATTCAATTTCTCCCGCATGCTACTTACGAAAGCCTAAATAAAATTCGTGTGAAACGTGAAACGGCGACATTTCAATCCGATAATAACTACGCGATGAGATGTGTGCGAAAGATTTTCTTATATGTCTTATTAATTACTACTTTTAAAAATGTACACCATTTTGACTCTGTGAGGATACCGGACCCTGATACATAATTAAAAAGAACTGTCACCGAAGTAAAGGAAGATGTAGAGCTGAAGTGACGTGCTATAGAATAGACCAGTGCACAAAAACACTGATGATAACTATAATGTAGTGACGTAGAGTAACAACAAGGAATTTTTGTTCCCAGGTGATAGAGCGGTACCAGAACGAGAATGGTTCCGGTGGCCGCAGCAGTGGCATCCATTCGGCGAGTGCGAGCCCCACGCCCTCTGAGCGGTCCTCTCCCCGCTCTCTGCACTCACACTCCCGACACAACACAAACATCACTCCTCCCGTAAGTAACATTACATTTAACGTACACGCCACTAGCACAATCACTAATGGCAAACAAATACGATGTCTTCAAGATTCTTACAAAATATCCACATTAAATAGCTAGTTTACGAGTTATAAAGAAATGTATACTTAAAAATATATTATTACATAATTTCAGCTCCATGAAGAAGACGACGTGTCTGACTGGGAGGAGGGGGATGCCACCGATGAAGCCTTAGAGGTGCCGCGGCGCGTACCCTTCCCTGAGTTCGGCGGAGACATAGTGCATAACACAGGTAAATAAATCTATTCAAATGGCCGTGACCTGCAAATAACCCTTTATACCGTCCAAACCGAAACGAAATTAACAGTTTAGGTAATTATATAGGTACTCTTTTCGGTTTCCAAAGCTTTTAATAAATTCACAAAACCTCCGGCTTAAAGGTTGTCTGGCAAATATTAAACCTACAATCAGACTTAACAGGCTTACTTATCAAACATAATCAGCTGATAGAAAAATAACAGGACGATGTTAATAACCTCATGCTAGATAACCTTTTTAATCAGCTTACACGTAGTTATGCAAAAAATAATTTCAAAAAGGACTTAATATAACCGATGTTTCCGCCTACGTTGCAGATAATGAGGACCGAGAGTTCGACGAAGTTTCCAGTAGCGACCTGCAGGCAGTCGACGGCACCTGGGAAGAGAACTGGCTCTTCCAGAAAAAGAAAATCAAGACCATACAGTCGGTGCCCGTGCCCATGCTGGTCCCTAACTCCAACACAGAATACAGAGCGCTGATCGGTGACAGAGACGCTGACGACACTACAGATCTATCGGACAATGCGAGCGACTCTGAAGAACAAGCAGAATACAAGAGTGACATGAAGAAAGTTCTAGACTCTAAACACGTCATAGGAGGTAAACCTAAAGTTGAAGAATGTGACTTTGAACCAGACAGTCTCACCATTATCGATGGAGTTGACGAAGACTTTGATAAACTTGTTGAGAAAATAGATGATGATGAAGCAGTAAACGCAATCATTAACGAAATCAATGATAACAAAGTTACTATTCTGGAGACAAATAACGTAAGCACAGTAGATCAAGTCGATGGTGGCAAGTTATTGATTTCTATTGACAGTGGACCATTAACAAAAGCAGAATTTACAGTAAATGAAGAAATCCACAGAACACTACTGAATGGGAATACGGAAGAATTTATGAATGACTTGAGTGTTAAAACGAATGGTGATATATTATACAATGGACATGCAGAAGTAAACAACGTCGACAGCTTCACTAACAACAAAGGTGAGTGAAATATAGCTATAAATCAAGCGATTAACTATTCAAATATAACCGATAATAGGAAAGTAATAAACACAACACACCAAAATGCGCAAAGTTTAATCAGCGAGCATTAGTAGAACTTTGATTATAATCGATTACTTAATGTGCTTATAAAGATAAAGTATATCATAGCCAGTAATTGGAATAATTTATGAGAGGTATGAAACGTTCCAGAATCATCGAATACTTTGAGTCAGCACGAGCGCGAGGGAGAGTACGAGGAGACGGTGACGGTGCCCGTGCAGCGGTACGCGGACAGTCTGCGCAGGAAGCACTTCGATGACGGACCCCAGGAGTAAGTCGATTTTGGAAAAATCTTGGCTAAACTTATTCATCTAGCCGATACAACAACTGTGCCACGGCAACAGGTGCGAAGACACAAAGTTTTAGGGAAAATTATAAACCGTAAATTGTAAATTAGTAGACTAATGTTATTTGTAATTCATGTGTATGTAAAAGTATGTTTTTTAATTTCATATTTCCCTTATGTCCTTCATAGTGTATTTACTATATTAATTCATTTTGTTTCAGGATTCCCACTCGTGATACAGATCAAGATGACTTGATACCAGGTACGTGACTTATACAAACACAGTTAAAAGTTTCTAATCAACAGGAAGGACTCCCGTGGCTTATTAAAACTAATTAATATACGAGATAAGAATAGATAATATTATACCTACTACGGATACCTAATATTAATTAGGAAAAAATACTGCAAATACCTAAACAATTAATTCACAATATAAAATTGTGATAGATGTTAATTTTCACTAATATAATAAAAACGATTACAGGTTCAATAGCTTACAGAGAGCGTAAGAAATGGCTGAACTATGTAGAGATGCCAAACAACCCTTACTCACCAGAAGCCATTCAGAAACGACTATCAGCCAAGAACACATCATCACTGTTCGACATGTTCACAGCTAAGAAGGAAGGAGATGATGACAAAATGGAAATAAACGATAATGACGTAGATGAGGGAGAAATCGAAATACATGATCTCCCAGTTAAAGATGAGCAACACAATAAATTAAGTCTAACAATGAGTAATGATAGTATTAATAGTATCGGTAGAACTACTAAAAGCCCGTCGCCTAGGATATTGAAAGATGTCATGGCTGAGGAAATTCCTCAATATAAACGGTAAGAGGGGGAACCTTGGGAAATGAACGAAGAGTAGAAAATAGTGTATTGTGACCGAGTGATTGATCAATTGTTCTTTTCAGTTACGGACGTGATTATTATATAAGAGAGGCCAAGGCGTCGTGCGGCGGTCGCAAAAAGACGTCCGTGGACGAGGCGAGCACGGTGTCCTCGGCGTCGATGAATAAGTCGACCAGTTTAGACAATTTCGACGCAGAGTTCGCGTCGCCTGTAAGTGCCAGCAGCTCGTTGAGCGACCTCGAGGCGTCCGCCCTCCATCACAACATCGTCCGCAACGTCCTCAGCCCTAGGAATGCGAGCCCCAACTTCGCTATAAACCCCATTTTCGAAAACCCCGATAGACACAATGATAACGCTGACGAGAATCATGCGACAGACGAACGTCATGTCGCTCGAAATGCCAACGTAAGACAACAATGTAGAACTGTGTGCGACGGTGACGGTTATGTGGAAAACGAGGATATAGTTAGACTTAAAATACCGAAAATACCCGAGATTACCGAAGACCTTTTCGAGACGTACACCCATGTTAGGCGGAGCAACACGCTGCGCAGCGAGGACCTCTGCGTCCGCGCCAAGCGCCGCCCGGCTCTCAATTTTACATTCGGTGGCAGTCTCAGGTTAAGCAAAGGCTTTCGTACCGATATCTGGTGACAGAGCACCCTCTAGCCCTCTAGTTCCGACCTCTCATAGTCTAATACACCTTCTTCGCTCTCAATGGCACTCCCACTGACCGTTGTCTCAACATGTCAATCTCTAACTGTGTACGATACAACATGGCGTCCGGTCGAGCCGAGCTCATCCTATAGTACCATAAGTTACTGACATCACGTCACTTCCATAAATATGGTGACAGAACTATCTCATTACTAAATCGAACATGAATCTAAAATATCTTCGTTTGACACACAGTATATAGCCTGTTGTGTGTAAAGTTGGCATGTTACTTGTTGGATATATACAGCTGACTAACAGCACTGTGCACTATTAATACAAACGTTACTACTTAGTACTGCACTCATAGATTTTGTGTTCTTCTTAATCAAATTTCAGTACTACAGTAATCCTCAAAGACGTTAGTGGTGAGTGTAAGATTTTGGCAAACAAAGTTTTGACTAACTGCATCCGACTGCTTGCCACCTGACGAATATCTAGTAATACTACTCGCATCCTTCGACTACTAACTCATTCGCCAACACTTCACACACGTTCATTCCATCCGTTGCCACTCGTCAATACATATTTCTTAATATATTTCCAGTTGTGTCAATATACTAAACTACACTTCTCTTGTTCTCAGTGGAACTTATAGCGCTGCACGTTTTAATGCTTACAAGGCACTGCTGGTATATAGTAACAATATTAACCCCAATAATATAATATTATAACATACTAACTTTAACACCTACTGCACTTTCCGTAGATACTATTAGTTATCTTATTTTGTACAAAATCAAACAATGGGGACTTAGCTGTAAATGTTTAAATCATAAACAAACTTTAATTTTAGACGAAACTGATTACACAATGATAACGCCAATAACGTTTTCAGGGATTACTTATAAAACAATTCCACACGATAGCGACGAACCAACATTATACAAAGTTCGCTAACAACGAGGACATGGCGTCGGTGACCACGACCAGTAACAACAAGGATGAAATTATGATAGAGTATGACGACGACGCCAGCGAACACACGCTATTCGCCGCTAAACCCGTCTACATCGAGGACGACACAGACAAACAGTTCGAAGAAATCATAGAAACAGCTTCCAAAGTGCCGCCAGAGCCCGCGCCCCCCGCCCCCTCGCCACACCCCGACACACACGACGAACCTCTGCAATCCCCGCTGAGCGTGGACACGTCTTACATGAGCACGAGCAGCATGGAGGATTCCATCAAAATCTACAACGTGCAAACAGGAGAGATTATTAAATGTAAGCCTGATAACGTATCGCCGAGCGATGAGGCTGGCACCGACGACAACATCGATAGCGCTGATAACAACATCTCGGAAACTGATACTGTTAGTTATACGGATGACGTGCCCGAAGACACTCCTGTCCAAGACAATAAACTCTCCAAACTAGAGCTGATTGAGTCGGATGACATCCTGCAGAACCTGCCCAAAGTGAAGGAGCTGGCAAAGATATTTGTTAGTATGGAGAACATCGCAGAGCCAGTCAAGGTAAATATCGATAATGTTTTATATTTCGCGCAGGCGACGTCATTGTTTTTCGGAAAACAAACGTTTATCTATGTTATTAAGTTCCAAATCCGTTGATTAATTATTATTATAAAATTCTTAATAATAATGCCTGGCGAATGTTCTTATAAGTACCTACATTCCCAAATAAGTGGCAGATACAAATTTTACATTTTCTATAAACCAAACGACGAGGAAATTTCGATTTACATAAACCAGTTTAGTTGAATATCACTTTAATCTGAATTGTATATCAATGTTAGATTACGTCGTTCAAAATATCAAAGGCTACTTACGTAAAGATACGATCAATGGGTGATAGGTATACGAAAATACAGCTAACGTTCAAAATAATTCAAAATAATGATGACTTCGTCATTTGTTTTCCAGCCAGTGCAACCTTACTCGGTGCGGCGGAAGAGCAAGGAGAACATCCTGTCAGAAAGCAAACCAGAGAAAACCAAGCAGCTATACATGCACAGCCTCACAGCGAGGAGCATCTCCAAAGAGTTCAGGGAGGAGCTGAAACTCTCCATGTCCACGCCACTCACCGTGCCGGGGGGCTCCAAGGAGATCCCCGAAGGTATTGAAGAGGTCACTAAAGAATCTAGCAGGCCCGGCAGCCCCGTGCCGGAACCAGGCACCATCAAAACAAAACTCGCCTTCTTCGAAAGTCTCAAGTCAAAATTTAGTAATAAGTGAAGCGTTTGATAGATTGAAAAGCGATGCCATAAACACAAATTAAATTAAGAATTGAATGTAGACGTTGTTCTGAACAAATGTATGTAATTGTAAATGTATGTTACGTAATGTACTCGCGGGGATTATGTTCGAATGTGACCGAGATCGCACTTTGCTGTCGCTTTTCAGTGTAACAAATGTTCACTAATCGTAGAATCAACAATCTCTTAGATACCGTACACAACGTAGCGTGAGAGATATTAGCATGATTTTCAGTTCATTGCGTGCTGTCTATCGCAGTAGTTTAACTACAATTTGTTTGTGTCGTACCAAACAAGTAATGTAGTTAAAAAACTAACCGAGGGCAGACTTCCCTGTAGTTATACAGTAGAGTAGAGCATAATACCTAGTAGCGGTCACATTATTTAATAAATGGTAGGTTACGGTGTAAATATTAAGTGCCATTTTGTAATCATTATTTCCCATTTATTTAGGTTAATTAGAAATCGATGGAATATTGAGGAAGAAATGTGTTTGTGGATTACATAATTTTTCCCTGTAAATTGTTAAGTGGGCATTATTGTTGCAGCGATTTATTTATTTTGACAATATAAGTCTTATTTTTCAATGAAATACCAATTACTTTTCTATTTCACTTAGTTTAGAAATGGACTTGTAGTCTGCTTTGATAGATCTTAAACTAAACTCGCCATTGTATACTAATTAAATAGGCACCTATCTCTACCATAACTAGTGGAAAACGTGATAAATCAATGTAAGCACATTTCTTCAGCAACATAACATTGAGTTTAGCTAATGCCAAAGTTGTAAATAAATAATATAACTGGGTATATGTATGTACTGTGTATACTGTAGGTTGTGTACTATTGTATAAATGTAAGTAGTGCAATAAGTTTACTAGGCGGACCATTGTATGTGATAGACGTTTGGCGGTAAGTCACGCGTCGCGAAATATTTATATCATCGTAAGATGGATAAGGGTGGCATAGAATAAAACATTTAACGTAAATATTGCCTTGTTTCATTTATATTCATTTTACTACACCTAGACAAACATATACATAGGTACGTAAAATAACGTATACTAGACAAAAGAATTTAGGTAAGAGGAGAGCTTAACGCTAAGTGACCCTAACTAAGCTACGGGATGGTTTAGGGGTGGTTGGTGAAAACAGCCATAAGGTTTTCCAATTAGGAGTGGCGATACCCAAAAGACGGTTGGCAGTGATTGGATATGAAGAGCTAAAGGTCTATGCCAAGATAAAGTACATCAACTTACAAATTATATGTTTGCGAGCCTTGTACCAACAAACTGATAGACCAATTATAATGAAATTTCCCAACTACTCATAAAAATAGTGAAAAATAATGATTATTAGTATTAGTTTATCAATTATTAGAAAAGGCGCGGTTGTTAGATTGATATGAATGTGCTATCTGATATAATACATACAATAGCAATACATTTTATTACACGATATAAAAATATTTATGTGTTTACAGTCATAATGTTTGTCATATTTCACGAGAATTACGAAATACGAAATTTGTAACTGGCCATTTAAACTAGATACTTTAGGCATCAATGAATAAGTCAGAAAATCAATAATATTTTATATTGACGCCCAACGTAAGACAGCTCATCCACTCTCATCGTTTTTTCTTAACATCTAAACTTAATAATAAAATTATAAACAATAATCAGACTAGTATAAAGATAACCAGCACCATTATTTTCAATTCACTGTATATAAACTTATACCTATTTTATAATACTTAATGTTAGGTACCATCAGTAGTAGATGCCCAGGGTCTTGTGGAAGGGTATGGTTTCCATGGCATCAGCATACTTCCTCCTATAGCACCATAAATAATAATCTATCAGACTGGAGTTAGGCACCTCAACACTGCGACCTTCTAGCCTCTCTTCTATTCTCTTCTTGAGAAGCTCCACAGCATGGATGGAGCAACCTCGGATTTCTACTTCTTCTTCTGAACCGCTTGGAAGAAGAATATCTGTAATTTTAAATTGAATTAATTAGTGTCGAAGTTTTAGTTGGAGTTTGATCTGGAATCTAATTAAGCAGAAATAAAAAATATCTTCAGCTTTAGATTTAAAATCAACCACCATGCTACTAGTGCAATACTTCAGTACCTATTTTTTAGGTGTACAAAGCAAAATACGTCTTTTAAATGGTAGTAAACAACATGGCGCTAATTTTTAAAAAAGAATTTAGGTCCTAAGTCCACCTTATTATTAGACTCAATGTAATATCCCTCCAGACAGCTACTTCTAGTAACTACATTCGATCCCCGATTAGTCACCTCAACAACATCAGGACAATCTAATCTATCAAATGTGAAGAGATGGAAAGTACAGATGATAATGATCTATCAGTTTGGAGAGCCCTCTGATAACGTGATATGAATATTTTGGCTATAACTCCAATTACTAGTGGCGATTAAATGATTTCGGAGATACGTCGAGTGTAACACAAAGTGATAATTATGCATGTTGGTCGCAAAGTCAAACTTTATTCTCTAAGTAAGAATAGTGGATTTGGATTGTCATCTGTGGTTTTAGTGTTTTCGGAATTTACTGTTTATGATCGTGGACTGTATGATTTCAATGTGTATTTAGCACAATTTAATGTCACATTTAAAAATTCTAGATATTGAACAAACAATACCAGAAATAAAAACGGTCACATAAAAAACTAGATACTAACCTTTTTTCAACTTCTCCATCAGTTCATCACTGTAACTGAGTGCACCAAAATACACGAGCACCTGCGGCACTCTGTAATCCGCAAACATTGTCATCTTGTCAATGTCTTTGAACTCTCCCCACCCTGTACCTCCGAAGAAGTTCCACAAATCTGCTACTAAGATCTGAGCCCGTTTGTATAAAGCCACTTTCTGTCCTTTGAACGTAGCTTCATCTCGGAAACATGGGAAATTATTCACAATAATCTCTAGTAGCTTGCCAGCAGATTTGTTTGCTTCCTTCAGGCATGTCTCAAAGGTACCGTTGTACTTCTCTAGTAGGATAGACCCTACTTCGTGAAGTACTGATACTCTTTGTTCAAACAATGGTATGGTGGCTTCATTGTCACCTTTCATGACAGACCGCAGTTCATCTTCAGTTATCTTCGAGTAATATTTGGGGTTTGTTATGTCGATTCCATTCTGAAATATGAAGATATTAATTATTTATCCTTATAACTTTGTAACTTTTTATAAGTAATGAGCTCATGTTTTAGGCTTCCTAATAAGACTAACATTGTAATTGGAAATGATGATGATGATGATGAATGATGTAATTGATAGTTGAGTTTTCTGGCAAAGATACCATTTAATAATGTACATGCTTATACATTACAGAGATAGGTAAACTATCTTTAAAAACTTTGAAATCTTTTTAACATACTTTTCTTTCTAGAAATTACCTTTATAGCTCTAGCAAGTGCAGCTTCAAGAGCATAGTACCCAGAATGTCCATCTACAGTCCACTTCTGAGCACCGGAGTATGACCAGAAGCAGAAATTGAGGGCATCGGCCACAAACACCCAGTCTGCAGCCTTCTCATGATCCTTGTCAGGATGGATGATGTCTGCACCTGTGTCTGGGATCTCCAACTTGTTTGTTATTGATGGTAACATCTGGAAAAATATATAAATATACATATTACTCTTATCTGCATCCTACAATCAGTAAAAATACAATTTAAATTGTTATTATTGCATAATAATATTCTTTAAGTGAGTATTCAGGAATATTCGGGTGTGTATCTAAATAAAACTAATTATGACAACATTACCTATGTCTGAGAAATCTATGTTTACATTGTTTATTTTAGTATTTTACCTGTTAATAGTCGGTATGCATTGCAACTTATTGCATCATAGCGGCACAGATGATAAACTTTAACTATAGTAACACGAAGTAATCTTTATCTTACCTCTTCACAAAGTTTCTCAAGGCCCGATTCGTGAATCTTAACATGTTGTGCATTTTTGGCAATAAACTCTCCGGATTCCGCCGGTGACAGTACTCCTTCACGAACCATATTATTATTGGAAAAACGAGTAATGAGTCGAATCTTAGATAAATTATTATATATAGTAGAACCTATAAACAAAATCTTTGGTTTTTTTATCAAACAATTCTTTGTGATTTTGATAGCCGGACACCGGATAACAAACAATGACATGATAACATTGACATTAACTCCAAAACAATGTTATTTTTTGACGTTCGGTAACACTCTTCTTTGTTGGACGTCGTGCAATAAATGCAGCAGTAAAAGTACAGCAATTAACGGTAACGGGCAAATGATATTGGTCATTACAAGACAAAACCCTAATGTATGTTTCTACGTAATATTATAACAGAATCAATTAAAAAGCTATTAGCAAAAATACAGCCATTAGCAAACGGCAATGAATATTTCCGAACGTTATATTCTCGCTCCATTATACGTACATAAAGTTTAATCTAGTACAAAAATTTTAAAACAGTTTCCTTTCTGTTTCTGTTTTCTTTAAATTAAAACTATTTAATTGACCTAAATAACTAATTTAAATACATAATGCACTTTTTTTCAAAAATAATATAGATTTGATGAGATTCTACTAAAAATACAACATGCTTGTATTGCTTAAATAGAAACGTAATTTTATAACCTTACTATTAGTTTAACGACAAAAATATTATAAATTATAATTATTATAGACGTTGGTGTTTAACGGCAAATTTTCCAATTTTTTTTAAGAAATCTTATAAGCCCCCATCTAATTATGCCGCTCGAAGTCCAAGGAACATTCGTATCACAGAAAATTAGTAAAATAAGATGGATAGCTGAAGACTATGTGGAAACAAAGTGCTTTTTTACCGGCAGTTGGGATGACGATCAAAATTCTATTAAAGTTTGGACGTTAGAAAGTCCTCACGAAGAGGAGGAGGTGGAATACCCTCGCCAGTTGTCCGAATACCTTGTAAACGGTGATGTTACACAAATCAAGTTTACAGAAAAGAACAAAATCGCAGTTTCCTTATCAAATGGCGATGTGAAAGTGCTGGAAGTAAGTTTGTACGACAAACAGTTTCCCCTTAAAGAAGTATTCCACTGGGAGAAGTTACACAACTACGGGTAAGAAATAAGTTACTTATTATATCAAATCAATATCAACAAGTGGCTCAGTACTTCTTTAGTACATTAACCTTGATCATGCAACTGGGAACATGTTATGTAAAATTGTTGCAACTCCTAGTCTTCAAATACTGTCTTATCATACTAACTAATTATTCAACCTTAGACTGTGTAGGTACTAAATGTTCTAGGTCATGAGAACAACAATTCTTTTCTGTTAATTCTGTGAGTAAGTAAGTTATATAAGAAAATCTTGCAGGATTAAAAAGATGGTACTTACTTTAAGTATGACTACTTTTAGTCTTAAGTTAGCTGTTTTATGAAAGCATATCTCCATGCTTTAGTTCATGTAGATCTTGGTGAAATATTCTTTAGTATATTACCTAATTGATTCAGCAAGGTATTTTATTTACCTATATTTTTATTATGAAACTTGGCTTGTAGTGCAGAACAATGTTCCTGCACATCACTGGACACCCTGGAAGGTGACATTGCCACCATTGGTGAGGATGGCAATGTGAACATACTGAGTGGCAGGCGGGGAGAGGTGATGCATTCCATCAAGGGAGCTGACAGCTGCTCCCTACATTCCATCTGTTTTATCAAACACACTGAAGTAAGTTACAGGTACATGTTTGTACCACTCACTATTATTTCATAATAATTTATTACATATTCAGAAGTTGGAAATTTCCAAAGTTCTTTTCTCACTAATTTGGCAATAAGATCTTTTAAATGTTAAAGTTCTTGTTCATTTCTCTGTATATTATATGTGTATTCCCATTTCAATTAGTGTCAATAAAAAAATTTAATTCGATTCCAGGTTATAACTGGTAATGTGAGAGGACATATGAAGATATGGGATGTAAGATCTACAAACAACAAGCCATCAGCTGCATTCTTACTTGCAGGGGATGAATTAGCCGCTACTTGTATCATCCATCACCCAACACAACCACATATTATCCTCGCAGGGAGTGAATCAGGAGCCCTCGCAGTCTGGGACTTGCGAATGAACTCCTTCCCTACGTCTTTAGTGAATGCTCATTCCGCAGGAGTATCAGAAATGCAGTTCCATCCAGAAAACCCTCACAAGCTCCTTACATGTTCTGTATCCGGAGAATTATGGGAGTGGAACATGGAAGCCATGACAAAGAGTTCCAAAGGCCCTGATGGCCAGGTGATGTGGATGCCACTACAAGATAAGAAGTCAATGATGGTGAACTCCTTGATACCGGCCCTACATAAATCTATCAACAGCCTACACTGTGACAAAGGCCGGATACTTTGTGGAGCTGATAATGAAGCTGTTTATTTGATTAAGAACTTTAAGTATTAATTAATGAACTTGTGGACAGTTGTGTTTTGAATGATGATGTGTAACCAAGTAGAATTTGAATTCTTGAATGTGGAGTACGAACCCATAACAGGTTGGGACCAAGATACTGGTTTTATACATGAAGAAATAATCTATTGTAGCCACAATATCAGAACAAGTGAATATCTACTGAGTTTATTACTGTGTTATGAATTTTGGTCAGTGAAATGGTTTTTTAATTCTGTTAATCTAGTTCTAGTAAAACGTAAGGAGCTAGGTAACTGTAACTAAGTTATTTGATACATTTGAAATAATAAAAGAGTAGTATAAGTAATATGCATTTTTATTGATTTTGAAAAGAAGATACACTTATAAAATAATATTACATAATAATAATACACCAAGTCAGTCTTTGCATGCTTAGTATCGGTAAAATATATTACAAAAACCGAAGTATATAGTATTTACAATGTTTTTAACATAATTGTGCAATCTTAATATCAACGCAAGGCACCATTATTACAACCGTTTATATTTTATTGCCAAAAAGGTAACATACATATTACTGAAATATGTGTGGTTAATTTAATGTGGCAACACCTAAATAACATTTTCAAATATCGACAATTTACAATTATCTTAACGAAATTTAATTGTTTCTAGTTATTAATTAAATATTCTTGTAAATTATACAAAATGTCAAGAATTTTTATATAAAACCTCGAATCCAAATCATTGATGGCACCAAGCTTTTGCAAGCTTTTTTTTTCAAAGTAAATCAATTAGTTTGTTCCCAATAAAATCATCACTCACAAAAATGTTATAAACTTTATGTTACGACGTTGTAAATGTAAATAATCTTACTGAGAACAATCACAATATATTTATTATACTAAGATTTTACTCGTCATTTCTGTAAGACCGGCTACTACACTCAAATGTTTTTGAAGACTCAACAGTTAGACTCAGCCTCTCAGTTGGAACAATGATAATATCACTATAATTAAGAAAAATGGTTGAATATTTGGCATCTTATTCACATTATTATACGAAATAACATACTGGAGTATAATTATTGTAGGTAAGCATAAAGTAATTATCACTCGTCTAAAATATTGTTCAAGAATAAAATAATAATAAACACAGCACAATTTGACTGAAAATAATATTGGATATAATAATTGTTCTTATTCGATATAATACTTATTGTGAGCACCATTCAATGGACATCCATCGAATCGGATCGCGCGCTCTTCTATCCAATCGACCTTGAGTTTGGAGGTCACTTACACTAATTAAAATTGTCCTTCTTAAACAATTTACTCTGGAACTGGCGTTCTGATAAACTTTAACCTTGACAGTTTGAATGCTAAGGTCAAAATTAATGTTCACTTGATGTGAAAGCCAGTTGGAGCTGGTCCCGGGCCCTGCGCCTGTAGCCGCGCGAGTCAGGTGTGGAGTGGCCGGCGGGGCGCGTGGTGGCGCGGCGCGTGCTTGCGTTGCGCGGCGTCCAGCAGCGAGGCGGGCAGCTGCCACAGCTGCTCGCACCAGCGCATCAGCGCCTCCGTCACGTGGCAGCTGTTGGCCGCCGTCGCCAGCTGCGTCTCCAGGCTGTCCGACTGCTTGATCAGCAGACTGGAAGTACAATGTTCAATTGTTAGACAACATCCTTGTGTACTAAAACAGTTTCTGTGTACAGAAAATAATGGGCCTAAAGTGAACCCTTGTGGCACTCCTTAAATATTTTCTATAATGATTTGTAAAAGTTGCCATTATTTATAAAATCTATACAACTGTATAAAGCGTTAGTAAAAATCGACGCGTCAGTTACTAAATTACCTCGGCGGGAAGAGCGTGGGAGCGATGATCATGGCGACATTATGTTCGGTCATCTTGTTGATGTCCTGGCGCGCCACTATCTCGCGCACCAGGCGCAGCAGCTCGCGCAGCGTGGCGCGCTGCTCCGCCGGCAGCAGCAGCACCAGCAGGTTCAGGGCGCGCCCTTGTGTCGTGCCACTCAGGGCTGAAGCAAAGAGAACAAACGATTAGAATCGGAAACGGAGCTCACAAACTTCATTTCAAATAAAGAACAAAACAGTGTTCTTTGAGTGATGATGATGAAGTTGATGGTTTAATTCAGTACATACTTATTTACAAGTAAGTACTTAAAGGGTGTTGTTATTAAACTCACCGTATGTGTGATAGAACAGCCTCATGAGCTCCTGGGTGAGAGGTGGCTGTGGCAGGGCGCGCAACAACCGCTTGAACACAGCGCCCAGGTCATGACTGCTGGCGCGAGCCAACGCAGCCTCCACCGCGGACCGGTCGGAGTACCATTGTCGCTCGATTAGTTGGCAGAGCGCTTCGATCTGAAAGGAAGGACAAGATTTATAAAGGCTATTCTTTAAAATGCTGTTGAATGTTTCCAACGAATAAAAGATTAAAATCTGTTCCCGAATTTTCCACGGGTTGCGTTTAAGAAAGTTTATAGATTGAATTTGTTTGAGGAGTCTTAACTCTCAACGTTGCATTAATAAATATTTACCTTTTGCTTGTTTCCTGGCACTCTAAGCAGGCCCTCATCAGCAGTGCGTTGTACTAGCGCTGCGGCGAGAGCTCGCACAATACTGGGTGCACAGCTCCAAGTCTCCTCCCACAAGATCATGTCTTTGCGAACCAGAGTCTCCAGAGATACGCCAAATACTGAACCCTCTGAAAATGAACGACACATTAGGAAATTTATTAAAAGCCGAAACCGAAAGACGTCGCAAATATTCTTCGACGAGAAATTATTCTAACCTTCTTTCCTCTTCTTCTTGGGCGATTTCCTTTTCTGGAAGGGCAGGGAGTATCGGTCGAAGAGTGCGGTCAGCTCCAGCCACAGTAGAGGCGGTAGCCGCTTCAGCTGGGGCTCGCCGATGCTCTCAATATCCACTGTACTATCCTCTTCAGGCCATTCCTGGTAAACAACCGACAACAATTTGTTAAATGAGGGATTTAGGGTCTTGGAGACAGGAAGACAATAGGAATCCTTGTTAGTTGGGAGTTTCAATATTATGTTTGATTTCGATCCAGGAAAGATTTAGCAAAAAAGTTTTTATTAAATTTCACTAACAACTGAAGCTGATGTTCAAGAGTATTGATAAATACGAACCTCCTCATGGTCGAGCATTTGTCTGTCGAGATTGAACTTGTGTTCGAAGCTGAGTGGCTGCTGAGCGGACGCGGCACTCTTGGCGCGAGACACGGCCGCGTGCTTATTGTTACTGCTAAAGAGAAACAACTCGGTTACTTCCTGGTCTTCGTCGTCGTCATCGTTACTTTGAATAATCAAGGCCTTTAAAAAAGTATGTGTACTCACATGAATGGATCATTGTCTTTGAGTATAGATCCATTGATTCGTTCTTTTCCTATCCTCGGTCCCTGAACTGTGCCGTATCTTTGGTAACCTAGGAGCTCGATGCCCTCTGTAAATAAAAGAGAAACTTCATTAAAATAAATTCAAATGTAGGTATAGGTCACTCAGTTTTAATTATTACCTATTAGGTAATAATGAGTTAACCACGAATAAACTATCAACATATTTCTGAGGTACTCTTAATTATGTCATAAACATAATTGGCGGATAGCTTACCGGTATTACTCGCAATATCAGCCCAATGCAAGTCGTTTGGTTTGAAGAGTTCGTGCATGGGCAGCGGCGGCGAGTGCGGCTCGGCTGGCGGCGACAGGCGCGCGCGGCGCCCGCCCGCCGGCGCCGACGGCGTGCGCGCGAGCGGGGTGTGTGTGCCCACGGACGGGAAGCTGTCGCTAAACAAAGGAAGCAAATCGTCAATTACATTACATTAAGCAGGCGCAACAAACACTAAAATAAACATAGAAGTCATGTCAGTAGGTATAAGACCCGCGTATCCCAGGGAGGACATGAACGACTGTCTTGGATAAATCAGATGATATCAGGAAGATAAAAGGGGAAGACAATGATGTAGTAGATGATGGTGATACTTACACAAAGTCTGGTGGCGTAGCAGCGTCGGCCCACTCGGCGGGCGGGCTGCCGGAGCCACCGCTCGGCAGAGAATCCAATGAGTCGGGAGTCGCACTGCGCGACCGCGGTTCACTACCACTTGAGTTCTGAGGACAAAACAAACACACGTTAATATCAAACATTCGTAAAAACCTCTGTCTCTCAAGCTTTTGCAACTTTAACCAGTTTTGGGGCCGATTTAACAGATCAGAATTTTACCGAAACCTGGATAGGTTTAGACCTAAAGTGAAACTTTCCATAGAATTTCTATGTAGGTAGTTTTGGGAATTGTAGAAATACGGTCTTCATACGTAAGTTGACAAGGGTTAACGGCAAAACTTTGGCACTTGCCGAAATATTAGGAATGTTTCTGTTACCAAACTCCATACATTGGTGTCCATCTTTTTAACACATTATTACAATTCAGCAACTGGTATTCTAAATCCAGCATAAACATAGATTAATAATAACCTATGTAAAGTTAATAAAAAGGAGAATATGCAAATAACACAAAACATCTTCGAAAATCCTTAAACACGCCGCTCCCAACACTACGATCGATCACTGTCAGAAACTCTGAAAGATAAAAATACTTAAAGACAAAATAGAAAACATCCGGGGTAGGTACGTTACGGTACGTTTCCGTATCTAATTTTATTTGACGATGTCTATTTTGGACTAGAACTACTTGGAGTTCAATAATTCTTTGACCACCCCAAAATACCTTCCAACACAAATAAAAGATACGATTACTAAGACTAGTAACATTTCATTTCAACTAGACGTACATCTTACAAAACCGTGAAACAATTGAAAGCAGGATGATAGTGTAATTAGTCTGTAATGGCAGCGTATTAATCACCACTTGGTGACGGAAATTGCGTACATTGTCACTTCAACAGACGGGTTGCAGAGCAATTAGAAATGAATAGAAAGCACGTGGCGAGGCTGCATGGGAACATGCATGGAAAAGAAATGTACTTAATGCAACTTTGTATAAAGAAAAGAAAAACTGGAGAAAGGCTGTGTAAACAAAAACTAGAGTAGTTAACTCGTCGAGTACCGGTTTTATAGACACAATTAAAGAACAATAGGTCGCGGTCACCGGTGACCGCTTGGTGTTTGACAGTTTAAAAGCCATAAATTAAGATCTTTATAAATAAGCAAAGAAAAGTGTATCCTACTACATCTACCTAGACAAACTGCGCACTCCTAATTATGCTGTAATCTAAATCACATTGAATCTAGATAATCTAACCTACATATAAATTTCTATGAACTACCTATCTACATAAACAAAATTCCTTATCTAATTTCATACCAAACAATAATTTAAGTATCATAAATCAAAACAAAGACAACCACCACTGCGTATTTTTTTTTTTTTTTTTTGATAACTGTCTGGTGAAATGGGGTGACGTAATATTTGCGCGACAAAAATTTAAAAAAGTTAAAAAACAGCTTTTCCTCTTACAAATCACTTCCCGCAATAAATTAAACCTGATTTCCTATTCAAGTATGTAGTTTCATAGTTTTTGCACCTTTTATGCACCGTTTTGTCTCAAGTCTCTTTAATGCGCTTACGCATGCAACAGAGATGAACTGTGTGAACTACACTTTGTTCAACAATTAGCTACCGGTGGTAAGATCACAATTGCTATTGATTGCTCTGTTATAGACTGTCAGTTTTTGCTAAAGATGCGATTTTCTGTGGAGTTAAGAAATATGCTAATAGATAAGCATTTCTTAAGTAACATATCTTTGAATATTTCTTAGTGCTGTGTTCTAAATGGTGTTGTTAAAGAATTAATATTGATATCAATCAGAGACAAAGGAAAAGCTAAAATAAAAACTAAGTACTTGAACAAATCCAAGATTCGCACCGCAACCTCTTGCACCACAAAACAAATAAACTAGGCCAAGTCTCAAACTTCCCAGATTATTACACATAGAATTATATAAAAATAATTCCAAACGGTGCCACTAACTGGGTGTAATAAAAACTATTAAAACAAACATTCCCATAGTATCCATTGTCCCTTCCACGTAAATACAAGAGTTTAGTCCGAAAGAGAAACGTGATTACGTATCTTTTGTCCACACATTACACAATCACGGCGAAAGCTTCTAAATTAATGACTGGCTACTTTTTAGAAGAATTTCAATGTAATTTCTACTTATTAATGATTACTGTATCGTTGCGTAATCGACTATTTATGTAATTCTTGTTACTTCACTGACATTTTTTCGTATATTCTTACAATTTATATTTCGTTTCGCTCGTCTTTTTTGTCAACAATATTAAATGTTGAATGAAATATTGAATGTTGTAAAAGAGTTGATTTGTTTGTGTTTGTTTACAGTTATATGAGGCGGACTTGACATTATTCCTTAGTTGAATTTGTGCAGATTCTGCTAGATTTGAGACAGGTCTTGGTGAATTTATCATCATAACATCAGTTTCACAAAAACCGATGTTGTGAAGTGTTCGAAGCAATGTTAATTGAGCCCAACCATCAACTAGCCACCCGTCACAGCCCAGCTAACGGAAATTGCGGAAGCGACATCTACCGGCAGTCCCTTACACCGGCATGTATGTCAGCGGTGCGTCGCGGACCGGTCGGATAGGTACATTCAAGTGTAACTGCCGACACGGAGACAACCGATAAATATTGATAAGGAGATCGCGAGCCAATGGCTATATTAGGAAGAAGGGGAGACGCAGAGAGCGCTGGTCAGGTTTATTTAGATATTAAAGATAGTTGTGTGAAACCTCTCGTGGCCATTTCCGGGTAATTGAAGAGATATCTAATGTTGCTTGATTTCTACAATATTGAGACATAGACTTTTACGACCACTGAAGTAGTTGGGACTTTAGATGCGGTAGTATTGGTAATATCAGATAAATTGAACTGATACTAATACTGACAGACCTACCAATTTAGTAAAACCATTAAACAGCTAATACATTGAATGCCTAATAAATCGAGGATTACAGATCATCAAACACACAAGAACCTAGCACGAGCATCTTGATCAAATACCATAAGCATAAACCAATATTTGAATATAATGGAGGTAGCCAAGGTGAATGAGAATGACTGACAATGACTTCGAATGATATAATCCTTACACTCTAAGCAAGTATGCATGCTACGTGGAACTAACTGTTGCAACACAAGCCAACGTGTCGGAATAACAATATGATACCTGAGGTGACGAGAATAAGAATCAGTTTTCTATGAAACTATCAGTAAGAGAACCACCAAATCAAACAAAGTAACCGATTAACCGATTAATGAATAATCTAATAATAACAACTACACAACACCTGCGTGAACATCAGCAAAACCTTGACAACTAAAACCGGAAAAAATAACCAAATTAATAATGTAAGTACAACGCCAAGTTAAGCAATGTACCCATCGCGATGTGTAGGTAATGGAGCTATGAATGAGGGAGCTCTAATACTAAGTTAGGATATTTTGGTATTAAATAATTCTTTTACAAAAGGTACAGGTTTTCAGAGAGCGCTGCTGCCAGTCGACCAAAAAAGCATATAATTATCAAGACGCAGTTATTCTGTAATTCAAAATATGAAACACCAAACTTCATTAACGAAAGATACCACTGATGCAGTTTTAATATACTAAGATGTATTAATAAAGAATATAATGTACGAGGGAAGGAAATAGTAAAGGAAGACAAAGAAGAAGGATGCCATGAAAAGAAAAAGTTTAATAAAGATATTTATTACAATACAAGTAAGTATTAGACACAATACTGGGAGACCAAAGTAGATTATATGTATTATCTACTATTACTTCTTATTAAGAATTATACAATTGCATTCAGGCTACAATAGTATAATTGCAGGTGCATACAGAATCGTGCCGGTCGGAGCTTTGTCGTGTTGTTAGTATGAAGGGACAAGCGACAACGCCCCAACACAGCTCCCTCACGACATAGATGTTGCATCTGTGTCGCACTTCGTCCACTTCCCGAACACCCAATTATGGTCGGGGAAGTGCTATCACTGTGTCAGCTTATTCCTCCGTAGCAGTATAAGGAGGAAATCAACACCTCCCTCCTCCTCCACCCTGAGGCGTGGCCTACAAGGCGGACATGTGTGCAAGGCTGCGGGAGCCTGCAGTTCCCGTACCCTCGTACACACGTTGTGGGACGGGACACCGAAGTGGTGTCCCGACGCAGTGTTTAGTCCACTGGACTAGATGAAACTTCACAAGAAGTAACAGAAGTGGGCGATAAACTCTCCTCCCCGCTGTCTTCCGCAACCGGCGCAGGAACTTTTGTAGTTTTTTCAGTGGTCTAGGAATAAAAAATAAATCTATTTATAGATAGGTTCACAGAGATTAGTAGTACATACCTAAATGATGATCATGAATGGGTTGAGTTTTCTTCGCGTAGGCAGAGTTTAATGAATTGTTATGAAGATTGGTAAATCTGAAGCTACATAGGTAATTGTAAAGTGAAAAAATATATAAGATCATGATGGTGCTGGCTGTTAGCGCTGCCTTGGAAGTTAATTGTTAAAACACTAGAAAACAACAAACGAGTTCGTGTTTCCTGCACGCTCGTGCTCGATGCTCGATGGACGAACCGAAACTAGTGGCTAATGATTCTTCTGTGTAATTTCAATTGCGTAGTTTATTAAATAAGCGTAAATTATTGCTATTTTTTCGGTTGAATTGACACCCATGCAGCACATTGTAGAAAATTGATACAATATTTGTTTGGATAATTTTTCCTCGAAATTAGAAGTGTATTACTCGTAGAATATTTTTCTGAAAGTATCCCACTAGTATCAACTCGTTCCGTCCAGTCTACAATCGTATTTATTTGCTCTACTTCAGTCCATTGTTGGTAAACAATGTGTAAAAGTGGATCAAATCAATTTATCAGTATCACGATATCAAAGTCACCGAGGTCGATAAATAATTCAATTAATCACGAAATTATCTTGATTGCATTTCAATTATTTAACTTCTACAAAATAGAAATAACAAAGCTCTGATAAAAGATAGTTTAAATGGAAACTTGAAAGTAGTTACGACATACAAATCAAATAGATTTGGCATAGATAGATTACAAAAATCGGTTAGCCTAAATCTAAAATGTACTTTACTTAATTTCAAAACAGTCCTCCATTAGTCAACCGATGTATGTTGATAAAAATAGCTATTTACTCGTAGAAAATAGAATAAGGCATAGAAATGCAAGAATTAAATACTATTGACAATACACAAAGCTAGTCAAAACCACAATAGCAATAGTGACAGTTAAGTTTAAGGAGTTTATAAGGAATTTAAGTTACGTAGACAGTGAATTGCATTTGTAAAGTTTGGAATTTAACAAAGAAGTGGAACAAAAGATGTTTGCGCTCAATTTATAAACAAATCAGAGAGCACATCATATGCATACAGATTTCGAAACATTAAATAGCAAAGGAACTGAGGTTTTGAATAAACAGAAAAATCTTCCAGATAATCTCGTCGATAAGCTACCTACAAACATTGATATCTTTGGGAATTTTAATCCACAATCACATGATACTAGTATCTCACGTTAGCTGTTGTATGACCAGATCTCACTATTTATCTCTCACGTACACCTATCTCTGAAGACCAACAAACAATCGATAAAGTTACAAATATAAACGGGTGTAAGTCCACTTTGAATACACAAAAACAAGTTAAAGAAATAGATGTAGTAAACAATGGAGATAAGACATCGTTAATTCTAGTCAATAATAAAATCTGTAATGATGATATCAAAACGGTTCGATAGTCATCTATATTAGCAGATAAGAACTGACAATAATGGAGTCATCAATATCACCCCTTTTCGCCTTTCTGAAATGACGTCATATTGTGGGTCACCCACACTGTTAAGATTAACAAGCACATATTTACCAACGCCTCGATATAGGAGCGCACGAGCGCCAGGCCCTTACAGTTGACCACTTTCTCGCACACCTTCACTCTCATGGTGTCACAGATCATGTTCACGGCACAAGTGCTCCAGTGCTGCACTCTGCGCACTGCACTGCCGCCACAATGGCACGCACTGCAGTGGCTGCAGTTTGGAAACCAGCGGACGCAACGCAACGCGTCCGTCTACCTCCGTACTTAACACTGCTATCGCTTGTGTAATTAACATTACCTACCGTATTACTAGATAATTACTTTTACGCAATTTTTTATACTTACTGTCTACTGTCGACTACTTGTCGCTGTTTACCAACTTGTGCTGTTTTGATTTTCGCACGTTCTTACGCTATGCTTTCACTGTCTATCGGAGGAGATTGTTTGGCGGGATATTATAATAATAGCCAAAATTATTGCCGCGAATTATGCTAACTTACCATTTCTAATTCATTCAACTACAAAATACACACACTTTTACGATAATGTAAAGGAAGATCACACGTCACCATTGTCTGAGAAGGACAATTATTATGTTTTAGAGTTCACTAAACTGTTCGCTGTCAAGGCACTGCATCCAACCACACACTAATCATCACCAATTCATTTAACAAAACAAACACTTTTAAAAATAACACTTAAAATGAAACAGATTATCTTTCCAGGCAAATGGTTCACAAACACGAACATACAGAAACAGCGCCATCGCTCGAACTACGTATTCCGTATACAGGTAACTAACTAAGTATTCCCAAAAACGTTAATTACACGCTTATCTAACGAGCCATTATCACTCGTTCCTAATATGCAGTTCACAAAGTAGTTTGAAACATATTTCAATGAGCACGTCACTGAAGCAATGGTTTCTTATTAACTATTGCATGATTAAGTGCGCGTGATTCGATGCGAGATGGAGCGAATATCATCTCCGAAATTTACTTTTTTGCGTGCGAAGTTTCACGAAACATTTTTGGGATGTCGAGTGAGATTGATAATTGCGTTGCTATTAAATTTCTCTGGATCAGTGGTGCAATCATTTGTTTTATAGCTTCTACAATTAACTTTACAACCGGATTAATTTGACGAGGCCTAAGGCAATGTAATTTGCAAGGATCCGGTTATCAACTGAGAGAGTTAACTTCAGTTAACTTGATTGAGTCGAGCTGAAGAGATATCAGAAGTTGATAAAAATAATGACAATAGAAATTCCATGTGAGAATGTTTCAAAACCTCAGATCAGACAAATCAGTAAGAAGTATTCTAAAGAAGTTCAACTGAACAAAGGTTAACTGAATGAAACTAAGAAGACACATTAAGTTGACCCAAAATAGCTGTCAAATGTGATTAAATTGATAAATAAAGAGGCAAAGGCGTTAGCGGATAGCCCACTGACCGATTACTTAAACGACAAAGTACGATGACAACCAAACTAGACAAATGACAAGAACTACTTATACTCAACCAATTAACCCACTGCACGTGAAACTAAATGCAATGCCAGCCAATCGTTCGCGGCCTACCGCAAATGATCAGCTGGATATACGCTTAGAAAGTACTAGAAGAATTATAGCGACATTATTTAAAGATAGCTTTCTTATATTTGATCGAATTTCTAGAGGTATTACCAATGAGTTTAGTAGGGTGGAATGGTCATTAGAAATGGCGATGGCAGCTGATGTTCATGTTTATGATATGGGATTCCTGATAGTAATGTCGATTGAGAAGATTGTAATGACGGGTTTAATGGTATTGGAAATACTTATACTTACTGCTTTAGTATGGTACGCTCTATAAAAATTCCACAACTTTATTATAGGTAGAGTTTTATTTTATCGCAAAGGAAACTAAATTGCCAATTAATTCAATACGTATCTTACGGATAGTTTGAAGTATAAATTAGTCTAATTTAGATCATTACTTTCACGGAAAAATGCTGTAAACACTAGAAACAAACAGTCATCAGTATTTAACGTCACTTTCGCATACTAACTAATCTACTCGTTACTTGTACTACATCATTGCTATTCAAAGAACTTCTTCAGTTTTTTCGATAAAACAATAAACAGGTGAATCATAAGAATGAAGTAACCGTGAACAACGGAGTTCATGCACCTAGTATGTTTTCTAAAATCAGACCATAATTAAATAGGATCTAGTCCAGCTACAAACTGATAATGGAAGTATTTTACCACTTCACACTAACATCTATCTGTCAGACTTAACCTTCTTAACGATACAAGTACAGCCATCTGTTGAAGTAAGAATGAACTACCAGCAAGTGCAATAAGCCATTGAGCACACTACAATTAGGTAATTAACGATAACAAATCATTATCAATGAAATTATTATTGCCTAATAATAATAATAGTATGACGAAGAATTTGTTTTAAATCTAATTAGTAGTTTAAAAAATCTTCAAGTCTATAAAAAAACCACTGTCCTAAAGAATCAATCCGTAATCCACTCACAGATAAGATTGACAGTAAAATATTCAAACAGAATGATTATAACCAAAACTCACCTCTAAGTCTCTAAATACATCTCGGATGTCAGGTTTCCTGGCTCGGGAAGCAGCTCGCTTCCTCCTCACAGTTCTGTTAAGTCTCCTGACGCGTCTGCGGACTGCAGCGGCCTGTTCTCTGGGCAGAGGCCGGACCGCTTCACCCAGCTGGGCCTCGGTGACCTCCAGACCGGCCTGGAACGGCGCTGCTAGTGATCCAAGACCAGCCGCTTGGAGCCACTCTGTCTCCAACTCGCCTTCTGTAAGGAAAAACACATAGAAATAATTAGCAAATACCAAAAAACAGATGTTCATGAACATTTTCTATCTTACGGCTAATTATAATGATGAGGTTCCCATAATTTTGTCGACCAAATTGAACTTACGTCTGCCGAATCACTCAAGTTACGTTAAAAAACTCATTTTCAAATTGTTTTTGTTCAGAACAAATGACTCCAAATCTCATGAAGGCACACTTATTGCTTATTTTGCTTAGTCAGACACAATTTGCGATTGCCTTATACGTTTTTGTTCGGATCAAAATCTTCCGCGATGTTTATTTTTTTTACATTTATGGTCATGGTCGTGAGCTTATTAACTTGATATCAGTGTTAAATCTAAGAGGTTTTACGTCTCATTAATATACGGCACGTCTGTCAAAGTGGCTTAATTATTTCATAGAAAAATGAGACGACGCCTTTTTTGTCTGTAAAACAAAGCATGAGTGCCTGTGCCAAGGCCTTGCACGATTTTTTTAGACAAATTGTATTACGAAATGACTACTTAGTTTAAAAAAACGCGAGGTCATAAGTACAGCTTATTTGCACGCACATAATGTGTTCCTATAATATCATTGTGGAGTTGATGGTAGCACCGTGGCGAAGCATAGACAATCTAAAGCTAAATAAACGAGGAAGCCATGGATGTATTGTTTCCGCACGATTTGTATAAAGATGTATGTTATTAGCAGAAAAAAAATGTAATTTTTTAAACAAGGTAGGTTATATTGTTATAAACTATTTCAGTACCTTAGATGATACATCTTAGTTAACTTAAAAATATAAATGTTTTAATCTTTTCATGAAACGGCAAATTGCAATCGTGATTGCGAACGTGATTTAACGACGAAAAGAAATCTTTAGAAAAGTTTGCCCATTGTTAAAAGCTTTTAAAAGGTAAAGATAAATAAATAAGTGACATGTGAACTGATGTTGAGGGCAGGATGCTTACATTCGCAGATTGTACCCTAAATATAGTCTGTCCGTCCGTATGTCCTGTGACTCAGCAGTAAGCGCCATGTTATTTATTGCGGTTCAAGTGTGAACGTTTTGACTTACTACTGCTATTTTTATTATTTTACTGCGAATAACCACATTTTACGTCAATCTTATTTTTAAATTTTAAAATGTACCTCGTAGGTTAGTTATGTTAGATTTTGAAAAAACAAAACATACAATTAAATAAGGGCCAACAATCGATTTAATCGGAGAGTCAGTTATATCGTTCAAAAACGAATGAATGTCACAATACGAAAGAAGTAGATTGAATATTTTGTAAATATCTTTAACTGTATCTAAAGCTAAGTTTATTTAGGTAAATACTAACTTAGCAGCTCTTATTTCGGTCCAATATTAACATCCAAACAAACATTCAAGTGTTGTTTTAGGAGTTCAGTACTTAAATTGTTTGAATTACCAAGTCAGCCTGAAGGATTTATCGTACGTAAGTTGCTTACTGAAATAGTAGCAATGTGTTAAGTGTTTGTGTGAATTAAGTTCGGATACAAGTTTCTTAGTCACCGCCAGTCGATGCATCGGTCGGTGTATGCAAATATTTACTTGGTTTCGATGTAAGCTTTCGCGTGGCAGTTTCACTAAGGATATTAAAGTATAGGTCAATGAACACGAACAAATAATTTACATTAAGTTTAAGTATTATTTTGAAAAAGCTGTAGCCTTTCTTCTCTGGACTCTGGACAACATTATTTTGCCGGTCTAAAAATATTGAGTTCCCAGTCAATTGGGAAATCGATTCTAATTTGTTTTTGACTTTAATTATTTAAACATTTTTTCGTCCAAAATCGCTTGATCATATTTTGTTTTCAAAATCACTATTTGCATAGCTTACTTCGAGTGACTGCTCTCTACACCCGCAGTACAAAGACCATTTATACAGCGTGTGGTTTATTTCACCAGCCGACGCGGAACTCACAGGATGTTATTTGTTTTGCTAACCTCTCAATTTGCCCTGTTTAGAGTTAAATGCAAGCGAAGTGTTTGTTTGTGGTATCTTTTATGGTTCAGTATTTTTTGGTACAATTCTAACTAGAATACCTATTTTTTTAAATTTCGTTTAATTAATTATTATTTTATAATTGATCAAAGAAGTATTTAAGTAGAGACATTTATAAAGCTATTTAAAAATTACATGGTAAAAGCGACAACAACAAAGCCTCTCATTAGATAAAGATTTAATTATTACTTTAACGATTCGATCGCACACAGTTTGTTTAAAGATTGAGCATTTGAATGTAAACAAAATCGGTTAAGGACCACATTAAAAGGACCATCAACGACAATTTGTTTTTTAACGTAATATAGACTACCTGCAAGACAATAACCACACTGAATAAAAAGAGCCGCAAATGTATTTAATAATTTTGAAAGTAAATATTCATGTAATTGTAAAGCAATACCCCAAACTATCCAATACAGCTACATACATACTATCCAGCTCTAACAATACTGAAAACCAAAATAGGTATTATTTACTGACTTGAAAATGTGAGATGCTTAATTTAAATTTTAACTTACATTCACGATTTGAAATATGTAAAAGCTCGATACTAAAAACTCACCTATCACATATTTGGCTTGGAACCGACATAATGCACCCATAACACACATGGATCCCACCACAAATGACAGAACTGTGAGAGCTGGACAATTTCACCGGAACAGCTAACAATTATACTAATTACACTTCATTTAACGCATCGAGGCCAAACTATAAACTAAACTGCAGTAATGTACACTCAACCACACAATAACGTTTGCCAAAACAACGATAACGATAGATTTTTACGTGACTACTTGAGTGGGTGGGTGTACGACGTCACAGGTGAATCTTACTGACGTAGAAGTCTACCAGTCTGGAGTGATGTTACATTATGATTCATGTCGCGTTATGATTTCATGAATGGATATCAACTTAGGTACCTAATGATTGATTCGCGTAATGTTTCTGATACACGATACCTACAACTAGTCATTCTTTATCAAGACAAGTGGATTTTTATTATAGGGACATAAAACAAAGTACGAATGATGAAATTTTTTGTTAGAATAATATTTATGTCAGATAAATTCAATGAAATGCTTTTTCTTAGTAATGTAATGTCATTGTTACGTTGCGGTTTTTCTGGTTGTGCTAGATAAATCCCGGAAAGCTGACAAGATCAGATTTTTTGGGAAAGTTGTGAAACATGATATTCTTAATTAAAAGAGTTTAATAGTTTAACTCGTCGAGTACCGGTTTTATAGACACAATTAAAGAACAATAGGTCGCGGTCACCGGTGACCGCTTGGTGTTTGACAGTTTAAATATAATCCAATGCACGAGTTGAAAATAATTAAAATAAACTTATTTAGTAAAGAAAGAACGCGAATTCAATTAACTATAAGTGATCTTAACTCAAACTAACTCGGACATGTTGACAATGGAATAATTATAACATTATACCATTAACCACCGTAAGTAAGATTCACGCGCGAATTATTCACACCACATGTCGTAGAGACCAACAACAGGTCCAAAGTGACGTGACGTCAAAAAATTGCAGCGCTAACGTGACGTCGACGTCCAGCGTCGCGGCGCGGCACACTGCGCGTGCGCCGACGATCCCGGATTATTATGGTCATGTATTTATAGATCGGATTCAAACACGGGATACACTTCAATTATTTCCGCTCATTCAATGAACTGAAACTTTCATTTTTATGGATATTTTACATAGTGACAGCTATCTATTAACTTTAACATGTTTATGAAATAAAGCTACATAAGATGAATAATAATTAACAAAATGTTTTATTTAAAAACGTTAAGTGAATCGCTACCAAATATCCAATCAATAAAATCATAATTATCAGCTTATCAAGTCATAATGATTACATCTCAATAACTTCCTACCTGCTCCTATCTAGATAACTTTGTAAAGAAAATATTTGCCGTTGCTAATTAATCAACCACTCAATATACTTTTAACTTTGAAATATCATTCAGGCTTTCTGACGCTGTTGTAAATATTATTATGTATTTAATAAGATTATTTAAATCTTAAGGTCTGTCCTTCAAGTAATTAGAGAAAAACTTATTAAGATATTGAAGGAGATTTTAATTATTTAAACGACTATATACCGAAATTAGATTGCCGGAAAGTTAAAATTGCGAAGATAGATTTCCTACGACCTCTAGCTAGTCACGGACGGACGGAAAACTATTTGTGTCAACGCACTGCGGCGTCTAGACGAGCTATATTTACTCCGCGGATTCACTCACACGTCACTATATGAGCTGTCATAATGACACACGTAATATTTAGGCGACAATCCATGAAACATTTATAAAATGAAGTCAATTCACGATACACACAATTACTTAGTTAGAAACGTCTTACTAAGAATCTTGGTATCAGTCTCATTCCATTTAGTTAATATAGTATACTAACATTAACTTTCAACCGAAGCTAATAACGACTCGACCCGAATCTAAATCCAAATTCAGGGCAGAGAAAGAAGAAGATTACATTCAAAAAAATGGAATCCAAACAACATCCCTTAGACACAACGATAGAGTAACGAAAGAAATACACAGAAGAAAATAAATAGAAATAGAAAATACTGACCAGCCCAAGATAATGTGTTCATCACAAACATCCCATGAATCCTTACTTTAACCATTTTGCAATAGACACAGACTTCAATAATACTACAATAACATTATACTTGGGAAGTACGAACACGCACGGAACTTTAAAGTAGCACTTGAAACTCTAGATGCACTCGTTACTGGAGCAAGAAGGGTACTGATCTACAGGAGTCCAAATACCAATAAGGTAAGGTCGGCTCCCAGTGATAACAATAGGGATGGCATTCCCTAACCCTCTACTGATAACACGGCTGCGACAATTAAGAGAACAATACACTGTCTTTAACATTTCCAGGAATGCTCGCTACCTAATTACCTTGTGGTGTTTTCTATCTCACCTTTATTGTTCTCTCTACTGTCGAACGTGTGACTTTTTCATGCCTGCTACCGAAACTGTGATTTCTTTAAAATTATTATTTAATCAGTTGTCAGACAAAATTAAATGTTATTTAGTTCGTTGATACTTTAAATCAGTTTGTAAGAAACCTGTTCAAATAAATCCGTTTCTTGCAAATATTTGCCGTTGTTTACTTTTGAAGCATGTACTAATATCGTTAAGGTTTCCTTAAATAAATTATTTAATTCGGTATTACTTAAATAGGTATAATGAGATTTAATGATGTGCCTTGCCATTGAAAAGCTTTTCATTGATTCGCCCAGTAGACTCACATGCACTTAGCGAAGATTTCGTCTGGATATCCACAGTCCGTCCTGTATCATTTTTTTTCAGGAGAATCTTTATGAATTTACCGTTTACTTAAGAACCCGTTACGTAAGTGTAACTTTTATTTCATGTAAAATAGCAAAACATTGTGAAACTCAATTGAATTGAAATTCAATATCTTTCTTTATCATTTACATAACGAAACCCAATGTTTGCGTCTTGTGATATGTCAAGATTAATCTCATGGTGAATGGTGGAAAACTACGGAATTGATTCGCAATATTTGACAAATTCAATAATTTATGCCATGGAAGAATATTTTCAAAAGTAACCTTTTACTTTTTAGTGAACTTCGTAATGTACTAGACATGGGTCAATTTATTGCTACACATTATTTACATCGAAATTATTAAACTTTAATTGAATTTTGAATGTATTTATTAAAACCCTGCTATTGAGATCGAAGACAGGACTTTAATCCAAACAGCAACGCTTAAATTAAAAAAAATTGAAAGTTGAACCCTGTGGTCGAACCAATACAAAGTTCAAATGGTAGAACAAACACACAACTATGGTTTAGGATAAAAGAATTTTATGAAGAGAAGGAACTTTCAGATAGAAATGATAGTTAAGTCAATAAATTACACTTATTACTTACTTAACAGAAGAAGATACGCGTTGTACAAATGCATGGTGGTTTCCCATTAATATGGATGCAAGTCAACAAGATTGACGACTGTGTCACACTGAATTTTCTTTCGAAATGATTTCAAATCTTTTTATTTTTCTGCTGAGAAAAACAGATAAAGGATGAATGATAAGGCTGAACATTGGTGTCGGATTTAAATATAGAATTAATCTATGTAGTAACACATCTATATTGTTTATCTGTGGCTTGTGGCTTGTAACATTTTTTATCTTTTTGCGCATTTACGTACATAGGTGTACAGGCCCTTGAAGCGATGATTGGCTATTTTTATTGAGAAATAACCTTATTTATTATTTGATTACGATAATATTTGACGTCTCATTTAAAAATAAAACTCTTAAATAGTATTGTGGCTTTTTCCAATTGGTTTCAAATTCTATAAACATCTCCACTCAATTGGCCAATGAGTATGTAGATACAAATAGTATATACTATCAGTTACCAGTAAGGTAAATATTTTTTTTTTATAAATTACCACGAGGAACTTTACCAGAATAGTAATAATAATAATAAAGGATTTGGTGTAACTTACACAATGGAATATCGGTAATTTACTTTCAATAGTCTATTGTTTTCTTATCGTAGCTTCACGGTTTAGCCTAATCCCATCCTTTAGTTAAAACCAAAATATCATAAAACATGTTCCCATTCTATGACCCTAAACAATGGTGTCACATTTTAAGTAGGTACTTACAAAGGATTTACTTAATTGTTTTGCAATTCCAACGACAACAATCGGGTTCACAAAAAGCCGCCATTGAAGTATTAAATATTAATTATATATAGAGAACTAGGTTTTCAAAAAAGACATTTCTTAGCGTATGTTAAAAGTCGCTATAATTTTCAGCTCAAATTGAACCGATATCTTCGTAATCAAAGGCGCTTAGTAACAAAATCTAATGAAGCTGTAACCGGTATAGTAAATTAATCGACCTACTACCTAGCTACGTATAAGATAATAATGATATAGGAAGTGAGACAATAGACCTAGCTACCCAGACATATCTGAGCTAAGTACTAGGATTTATTGCCTTTTAATAACTAGGAAGCAATGAGCAAATACCTAGGCACCATAGGTACACTGTTAGGAATACTAAACAGGTGCCTGAGTGCTGGAAGTGTATAAAATAATAATAAATGTGTGTATTACGTGTGTATATAATGTTGTACAGTGATGTCATGAATGTCAATCGGTAAAATATACCGCGATCGGTAAGATTGGATCATGTAATAAAATGCACAATCATGCTTGTCATCTAACGAAACAAATGGAGGTGTTATCAATAGTATCTACTGCTGGATATAAAGTTAGTTTAACCTATCTGTAGAGGAGGTACTGTCTCCAAAGTTTAAGCAGAATTAAGCTCATTTGTGTTCGCAACATTTTTTTTTGAAGTTTTTCATATTATTATCTGTTGCCCTGCATGAGATGAGACCAAAGGATTAACACTTTGCGGCAACTTAGCTCCAGTAGGAGTCAGGTGGCCGGCAGGTAGGTAGGTAGGGGTCCAAATAAAGTACACTTTTTTTTTTTTTAGAAGTAGTTCACTCTATTATTGCCAAATATCTGTTGCCCCAATCACGTCCAGGTTCGGGGTAATAGGTACGCTGAGAACACTGGCCTGAACCGTGGAGTAGCTCTGCAGGCGGTCCGGTCTCGTTCCAAATGCCTTCCAGGTCTTCAGCAGGGCCTAGGTAGTTCCCAGGTAGAAGGAGGTCTGGTCTTCCACTCGCCGCCAGGTAGATGGCTGCGATGCGAGGTTAATAGTAGAATATAAATCCGCCAGGTAGATGGCTGCGATGCGAGGTTAATCGTAGAACATGAATCCTGGAAGCGCAGATACAAGGCAAGCGTTAGCAGAGCCCGGACCACGTAGCCGGGTCCAAAGGTCACAGTGTCCCAGCAGACAAAGAAAAAAAAGAATAGCCGCTGCTAGCGAGAAATTAAGAAGAAGAAACACCTTACAATAGCAACACTTAAGCAATACATGGAAACTTACCCCAGCGGGATTCCGATTACAATTTATATAATTGATTTAAGGTAGATTTAATTAGGTAGGTAAGTACGATCTTGCAACGTAGGTCGTCCGCGATCGAGTGACACAGCCGTCACCTCTGATGCCTTTAAGTTGACTGTTCGTTGGATTTTACGAATGCGCCCGAGACGAGCCGACACGACTAGTTATTAACTCGTTTAGAGATGCGTAGGCGCAATAGAAGCGAGGACCTTTGCGTAAACAATTAATATTGGGTTCCGTAATGTTTTTATATAAAATTAATTATTTTGATGCGTTTTAAATTAGTAAGTAGTAAGATGTGTTTCTATTTGTTTATTTAGTGTATTTTAATAATAGTTTTAGAATAATCTATTGTAATTATTTATAATTTATATGGTTTCGAAGCTATTTTTAGGGCAACAAGGTACAACGTTACAGTACCCCCCTCATTAGCGTAGGATTTTTCCTAGGAAAAATCCGCTGCTTTCGCTCTTGCTGATAACTGAACCGAGTTACCCTTTCATTCATCATCATTCATCATTTAATCATCCCTCACTTTTCATTATTCCTTACATTAACTAGCCGACGTCACAATAGACATCTGTGCGTCAGCATCCTTTCGATCTGAGTATTCTGCTACCAGTGCACAGAACACTCCCCCAGCTCAATTATGGGTGGAAAAAAATTAAGCTGACTTGGAGCGATTACTATCTCCACATAACTACTAATTGATAGAATAATAGACTTAGGAAAAATAGATAATAAGTTATGTTTGTGATTGAGGCTTATTTATAGAGTAATCAACCGCTCTTGCAAAGGCTTATTTAAGGAGTTGCACCGCTCCGTAGAATACCAAAGGTGTAGGGCCTTTAGCGTACATAACTGAAGGAATCTATGGGGTAGAACCATGATCTAGTTTCATTTATGGACATCGGTGTAGGGCCGATAGTCATAGTATATTTAATATGATAGTAATACATTGTGTGGGTTAGACCATCATCATAATTATACACTATTGGGGTAGACCAATACGTATAAAATAGAAAAGGAATAGCTTTGTGTAGTAGTAGTAGTAGTGGTAGTAGTAGTAGGTACTGTAGGTAGTTATAGAATTTAGTGTTCAGATATTAGTTTTAATTCGATTAAAATTTTGTTCAAAAATTATTTAAGTATAATTTAAGGACGTGGCCGGATCCAGTGTGTGTACGTAGTTTTAGGACATACCCGGGTCCAGTGTGTGTACGTAGTTTTAGGACATACCCGGGTCCAGTGTGTGTACGTAGTTTTAGGACATACCCGGGTCCAGTGTGTGTACGTAGTTTTAGGACATACCCGGGTCCAGTGTGTGTACGTAGTTTTAGGACATACCCGGGTCCAGTGTGTGTACGTAGTTTTAGGACATACCCGGGTCCAGTGTGTGTACGTAGTTTTAGGACATACCCGGGTCCAGTGTGTGTACGTAGTTTTAGGACATACCCGGGTCCAGTGTGTGTACGTAGTTTTAGGACATACCCGGGTCCAGTGTGTGTACTATTTTTACTTTGCTTATAATAATTGTTATGTTTTATAATTTGTGATTTTAATATCTTTGATATGCCAGGAACCTAGTGGTTTTCCGGACATATCAGCCAACTCGTAGACAAGAGGCGACTTTTTACCGATTACTTTACATTTTAAAAATTTTGGTGCTAATTTTTTATTAAAATATTTGTCCTTGTCACTAAGGTAAAAGGTCTTTCTCCATACTACATCACCAATATCAAATTCAGCCGGTTTCCGGCGTAAATTATAATGTTTACAATTACGACTGTGAGCTTGTAGAAGCAGTGACTGAACTTTATTAAAGATAGAAGATAGGACACCTATGTTCTCCGCGTAGGAATCGCGAGGTTGAAAAATTAAATCCTCATCAGTATCCGTATCGATATAGTGCGTACCGCAAGCTATTAATTCACGTCCGTATACCAGAAATGAAGGGGTGTAGCCCGTGACTTCATTTACGGAACAATTCACAGCGAATTGTATTTTAGGTACTAGTAGATCCCAAATACGTTGATCGTTAGAGATGAACGTGGAAATGGCAGTCATTATCGTCTTATTATAACGTTCCACTGTGTTTACATGTGGTGAGTATTTAGGCGTAAAATGCAGCTTAGGGATTTTATATTTATCTAACATTTGTCTTAGCGTGGCACTTACAAATTGTTTACCATTATCCAAAATCACCGTGGAAGGAATGCCGTGTATTAAGAATACATGGTCCTCCAGTATTTTAGTAACAATTTCAGCGGTAGCGCGCTTGATTGGAAATAGTAAGCAATACTTACTAAAACAACAAGTGACAACCAGAATAAAGCTGTTTAGTTTCCTAGTAGGAGGTAGGGGTCCTACTAGATCCACGCTAATAACCTGGAAAGGTCTAGTGCAATGTTTAGGTCTACCCATTTCACCTAGAATCGCGTGATTTTGGTGCTTGTGCGCGATGCAAGTATCGCAAGAAGTGACAGTTTTCACAACGTCTGCATGCATACCAGGCCAGAAATAACTTAGACCCACACGTTTAAATGTTTTAAAAATCCCGAAATGACCAGCTGTTGGGTCCGAGTGGTTTTCGAGCACAATAGCTTGTCTCGACTCAGCAGGAATTACTTCTTTCCACTCGAACTCCTTATGGAAGGGGTTATTAGTTTTTGAATAACGGAACAATCGATTGTTTTTTATTTGGTAATTAGGGAATGACGTAGGAGAGCTTTGACAACCTTGAAATATATTTAAGTACCATTGATCATTGGTCCTAGGTAGATTATTAGAATCTATTGCCGAAACTTTACATGAACGTGACAATGCATCAGGGATAACATTATCAACGCCACGCCTGTGTTTTATTTCAAAATTAAAAGCTGATAGGCGGACACCCCAGCGAGCCAACCGCCCAGTTGGGTTGTTTAGACTAAGAAACCACTTGAGAGCAGAGTGATCAGTGTAG